GACAGGGACGCGCGGCCCCACCCACGCGGAGCCCTTCTTCGTCCACAGGAACCCGGGCTGGCGTGGCGAGGGATGGCGGACGGGGGCTCGAGAATTCTCAAGAGGAATAGCGGAGAGGAGGTGGATCAGAAAGAATACATGCGGAGGGGAACCGAGCGAGGAGAGGAGAAGAAGAACTCACGGGGGGAAATCGACGAGCTCGAAGAAAAATTCGGCTTTTCGGTGAGTTAGTGGGATGGTGGAACGAAAAGGAGAGGCGAGGAGAGTCACGGATAGAGAGAAAACGGATTTCCAAGCGCCTAGATGAGCGATACCGGAGGCGTGAGATTCTGGAAAGCGAAACCTCACAATGGGCCTAGATGAGCGTGAAGTCGAATTCTTCCACCGCGGATCCAGTACGGTGTGCAACACTTCAAGTTGAGGACATGGCCATTTCGCTCTGCAACGGGGATGGGGAAGCTCGAGAGGCGACGGTGACAAGATGGCACTTGGGCGCACGCTAGGGACGGGAGCGACGGTCGGGCTGTTCGAGATCTGTCCGTTTGGGACTGCTAACGCAAGCGCGGCTCGGGTAATGCTTTGGTTGTGTGAGGCCAGCTGGTGCATGCAGTTGCGCTCCTAGTCGAGTGAATTCTCCTCCACAGCACAAACCGTTTGTCTACGTTGGAAATATCTCAATGTACTTGCATTCACCTAGTAATGATTACAATGACAATCAATGTACAGATCCCGCATTTCTTACTAGAAGACTGAATCAAGCGGTTTTTTAAATCTAAAAAGAACAAATGAAAGAAAAAATAAAGAATAAAAGAGCACACTCGTGGTGCTGCACCTCACAGACTCATCTCTGAGGCATCCTGTTTACAGGGCATGTGCAACTAATCAAATAACAGAGGTTGTCCTCACAACTTATATTGACTCTTAAGGTGTGCAGCAGGGCTTGCGCATTGAGGGCACGTCCATTGGAGAGAACCAGTTACAAATGCTTTTGCAGGTGGCACACAGATTGCCAATCTCAGACTGCCAGAAGGAGGCGGAATGTGGGTGACGCAATAAGCAGATGGGTGGGAATACAGTGGCGTGTGGGCTTCCCTATCGTGAGTCAGCATGTGAAGTTGACTAGTCATCATCTGAGTCGATGAGAATCACATCTGCTGCCATCCCCCCTGCTGGATGGTGCACAACCGCGAAGCAGAGAGGCGGAAAAGCATAGAAACGGAGAGTTAGGCAGAGATGCATGTGGGCGGCAATGGCAGAGGGGCGGAGAGGCATGGGTGGGGATGTGAAAGGAGATACCCGGCAGTGCATAAAAGCAACTGCAGCAGGACACAAATGGAGTGACTGGCGAGAAAGGAGGAGAAAGAAAGAAGATAGAAGAGAGAAGAAAAAGGAGGAGAGATGAGAAAGGGAAGAGGAGAGAGCAGAGAGGGGAGACGAGAGAAGAGAGAAGAGAGGAGGGGGGAGGCAGGAGAGAAAAGAGAGGACTGTAAAGCGAGTAAGACAACTGCTTCTCACCATGCATGCGCCCCTGTTGCTGGACGTGTGGGGCTGGAGCATGCTGGGGCTGTGCCATGTCAGGGGCATAGGCAGCGTTGGCGTTGAGAGGAGCATGGGGGCCAGTTGACGGAGGATGCATGGCATGTGAGGGATGCGAGGCGGCATTGCACTGCCCATGGGGCTGCGGTGCATGGGGCTGTGGTGCATGGGGTTGAGTTGAATGGCTTTGTGCATGCGGGTGGGCATGGATGGCTTGTGATAAAGGATGCATGGAATGTGAACGTGGCAGGGTGGCATGGGGCTGCGCATGGGACGATGCTGCAGCTGCCTGTGGGGATGTGGGGTTGGGAAGAGGCGGCGTGAATGTTGTAGGGGGAGGTGAGCGGGGAGCATGTGTGAGAGCAGGAGGAGAAGTTGCAGCAGCAGCGGCAGGGGAAACGCCTGCAATGGCAGCGGAAGGGGAAAGTGGAGCAGGCAGAGGAGAGGTGGCAGTAGGAGGTGCAGCAAATACACAATCACTTCTAAAACTGTGAAAGGCTGTGAGATCTGCTGCTGCTGCTGCAGCTGCTGCTGCAGCTGCTGTTGCTGCTGCTGCTGCTGCTGCTGCTGCTTGCAGCTGTTGCAACAGCCACCGGTGCACAAATGCATTTTCCACGGCAGCTATTTCTTGCACAGCTGATACAGGCATTCCACGCTGCTGCTGCTGTCGATGCACAGAACCCCCCCCACTCCTCTCCACCGCAGCCCTCCCACCCGGCAACTCTCGCACCTCACCATCTGCCCCATCCACCCGCCCCTTGGTCACCGCAACAGCTCCTGCTGCATCCCCAAACAGCCCCAAGAGCACCAGAAGTAGAAGCAGCTGCACGAGCCACAGCTGCAGCAGCAGTAGCTGCAGGAGCCGCATTAGCTTCCTCTGCTTTCCCCGCCTCCCCCCTCCCTTCCTCCTCCTCCTCCTCGTCCTCCTCGTGCTCCTCCCCCTGCATCTTCGTTGCTTGAGGAGTCGCTTCTACCCAACTCCGAAAACGGGCGAAACTTAATGCTCGTCACGGCCACCAGCTTGGCCCGCGCTCTGATTGATGTTTCAGGCACCTCCGAGCCATCCTCTTCTGCTGCTACTGCTGGGCTTATGCGACCAATCACCTGGAAGCATGTGGTAAGGAGAATGGAGGAGGGGATTCGAGGCAGGGAGATTGAGAGGGGGAGCACAGCTACGAGGTGGTGTGAGAGGAGGGAGGGGGGCAGTGGCTCTGTGCATGGTGTTGGGCATGGATGGTATGCGTTTGAGAAGGTGAGGGTGATAATAGAGGGAGGCACGGAGGTGGGATGTGCGAAGCAGAGGGAGGCTCACTTGAGAGCGCTTTACAGAAGCTCTTGAAACTCACCCAACACCTCGATCTCCTCACACCTCTGCTGTCGCTCCACTCCCTGGTTCCTGCCCCGCGCCCTTGGTTTGGCTGCTTGGTGGGTGCCGCACGCACTGCATGAAGTGACGGGTTCTTGTGCAAGGTGCAACACTCGCTGTCAGAATTCGCAGTGATGTGGCATGGGTGACACTAGCAGCAGGTGGCAGAAAATGCACATACTGTACTGGCTAGACAGCGCGCACATATGTTGAGCACCCACGATGTGCCTGGTATGGTCAGGTGTGGTCTGTTGTAAGGGACAAGGAGATCAGAGGACATGGTTGTCGCAGCGTGAACAACCCCAGTACTACCCGGTCCCCCACCAACCCACCCACCCATCCCACCTACCACCCGCCCTGGCCCCCTCCAGGGGGGATTCGGCACAGCTTTGCAACTAGTCCCTTCTTCAGGCAGCTTCGCCATAATTAAAAAAGCAAGCACGTGGCTTACCTGGAGTGCACTCGATGCAGCGCAGTCCCTTCCCAGGCAGCTTTACCAGGGTCATATACATCCCAGCCGAGGCTCTGGTTGCTCCACCGTCTCCATCTCCCAGCTTCCTGCTCCTGTCTTTCCTCTCCTGTCTCTCCTCCCTGCTTGACTCCTCCCTAGTACAATTCTCCTCCCCTCTCCCCCAAAATCTCCCCTCTCCCAGTACTCTCCTCTTTGAAGTCTCTCTCCTTTCGAGTCATTTGTCTGCAATGCAAGAAACTAGCCAAGTCAGCTCAAAGAGCTGACCCGATCTCCGACATTCACAATTTCTGCTTCTCTTCATGAAAACCGCGCAGCTACGACAGCATCCACACAAGCAGACAACACTACAAATTGGTGAACACTGCACTGCATTGCAAGCATGGCCTTGAAACAGCGTTGCCTCCATGCACGCACTCTGATGAGCTCCTACTGCAGCAAGCAAGGTGCTGGCACTATTCTCGGTCTGCACTCGTAGCCATGCGTGCTCAGCTGGGCCAATCTTTCTTGTAGCTGAATTAACCATGCGGTACAAGGGGTGCAGGTGACGTATGGTGGGAGGGGGATGACATGTAGGCTATGAAAGATTTTCCTTATGACATGTTGAATGTCTTGAAATATCTGTGGAAAAAATCTGGTAATCAGCAGCAGTATCTACCAAGTTGCACACATACCGTATGATACAACAAACACTCTATGAAAAGAACCCTTTGAACACTCTCCTCATCCACTCCCCCCCAGTAATGTTTTTCACCTCCTCTATCAATCGTCGCTGCTGCTCTGATCATGTCCGACGTCAGAAGGCTATAGTACAAAGGAAACTGAGTGGGACTGTGTACGATATACCCTAGCTCCACCCCCTTTCCTCCATCCCCCGGATTATCAGCAGTACCCAAGTTCAGTTCCGTACCATCTACGTCAATCCGCACATTATACCCCAATTGAGTTTTCTTCAAACAGAATATTCCAGTCTTCGGCAACGTTTCAGGCGCATCCTTGTTGAATCGCACCTTTTCCTCGAGGCTGTGCCTTTCACCAACCTTCCGACGTGTAAGACGTACCGTATACCGTACGCCTGCGTTGTTTCGTACTGCAAGAGGTAAAAAGTCCAGACGAGAAGCCTCTTCAAGCTTTCTTACAGTGCGAACCACTTCAAACGCCTCCACCACGTCGTCTTTTTGCCATTGCCGAAACCCCTCCACCGCCACAATACAACGTGAACCCGCAACAACCTGGTTTTGAAGATTTAGATTGGGTGGAGGAAAAAATCAAGTGGGTTTGAGAAGAAATGAAAGGATATAGTGAGAAACACTTTCACACATGAGCATGAGCACACAGATCATCATATCCATGAGTAAGGCGAACTTACCCTCCTTCCCACATCACTCCATACTCTACTGAGCAGCATATCTGGTACCATGCAGCCACCACGCCCAAGACGTGCGTGACATGGTGAGAGGGTGGGTGGTAGTGAGTGGGTGCGAGAGGAAGTTCGGGGCATCGTACCTTGTTGGCGGGACTTTCATTTTGCCACACCGATGTTAGAATTCCAGAGAAGATCGTTCCCTTTTCTCCCCTTATCACTTCCACACCGCACCCCACGACGAACTCGCCCTCCACCACCTTCACCTATGCCTCCACACCTCCACCAAACGCCTCAACAGTTCCCTTCCCCAGAGGACGGTAGTCCTGGTCCTGGTGGGATGGGAAGGAGGAGAAATGGTGGGAAGTAACTGGACACAAAATGAGAGGGAGCAATACAATACTATACATAATTGGTAAAACAAACGCTTCTTGGGCAGAGCAGCTGGGCTAAAGTTCTTGGTTAATGGGCGGCTCGAGCAAGGACTGTCTTTCCCAGATTGGTTGCCTAACTTGACCTCCTTGGGCTGATGTCGCAAATTCCTCTACGTTGCGTCGCTTTTTGACTATGTACCTCGCATGCTTACACAAAGTATATAACTGTATAATTCCCATACCTCTAGATTCGCTTCCATTGCCGTTTTAAGGCCGGCTTTCAAGTCAGGAAGCAGCGAAGACACCCGCATATCCACTCCCTTCTCCCTGGCCTTTGCCGCGACATCAGGCGGCACCTCGACCTGGTAAACCAGCACCACAGCCCCCTGGGTAGCTGCGACATCAATGTCATTTGTTGTCACTGCACCAAAGGGCTGTCAGAGAAGGCGAGATTGAAAAGGAACATGTGGCTCATATTCAATATTTAGATAGAAACGAACACTGCGTGTGTTGGAAAAGAGGTAACGGAGGGGAACAGGAGAAGTGAGGATGTAGAGAACACAAAGGGGATGGAATATACTTGGAGTGTCGAAAGGACAATGAGTATCATTTCTTTATTCTATTTCAAAGACAAAAAAAAACCGCATTACAAATCATATTACATGCAGCAAGAAGCGAAGTGTCACCGTATCCTGTGGGAGCGCCGCAAGAGCATCTCCAACGTCCTTTACGGCAGCCTGAAAGTGAGCAAAGGGGTGCATGCAAATTTTGAGAAGCATACATGAAACAACTCTACTTAAACAGAACATGTCTAGGCATGTGGCTACAATAAGAACAATGTCTAATGCATATTAGAGAATGGGGGCCACCAATTGAGAGTGGGGGCATTGCCTGATTGCGAACTTTGAGGAGAACATTCATGCGAATGTGATTGACCCCTTCGTCGTCACTTCGTGGAGGAGGGCAAGCCATCTTGTATCAAGCTCAAAGTCCTCGCTCTCAGCACTCTGTTAAGGAAAGGGGGAGAGAGAAACAGAGGAAGAGAACGGAGATTGGGAAAGGAATTTGTTAGGGCATCCATCATGGCCCTACAGCCATTCACAGGGTGGCCCGAGAGTAGATCGGAGTGAACGAAGTTGAACATGGCATCTGACGACAGAGTGGGGAAAGAGAGGGGAGGAGCATTTTGAAAGGGGAGCAGAGCAGAGGAATGGGGGGCAAAGGGGTGTGTGCGTTGTCGAGCCACCAGAGGGTGTCGGGGCGAGACGGGGCGATCTTGAGGACTTTGTCGAACTTGGACACGGCAGCTGACGGGAGGAGAATGGGGGAGGGCGTGGGGAAGGGCGTGGGGAAAGGCGTGGGGAAGGGCGTGAGGATGAAAGGGGGGAAATCCTCTTAAGATGATTCTGATCAGAGGGAGGGGGGGGGCGCGGACAGATGCTCCTCACTACGACGCAGTAGAGGGTGGTGGGGAGACACACACACCGCGCTCTCTCTTTTGTTCTCTCCTGCAGCAGGACCGGCCCTGACGTGGGGAGTGGGGTTTCCGCTTGGGAGCGCGGAAGGAGAGCCCTCGGTTGGGAATGGGGCGCAGTGGAGTGGAGGGCCACACAGACGCACGCACACACCTCCCACTCGCGTTCGTTGAATTTGTCCCCTGTTGAAATCACAAAGCTGGAACCTATCTATCTCCCCTGCCACTCGCCCCACCTGACAGGCAAACAAAGATGAAGGAAGGGTTCTGGGGGGAAGCAGGGTAGTGGGGAACGGAGGGCCTTTAGAGTGATAATTACAATCCAATCTTTCAGCCCATCCTCATAAAAGTTGTTCCCCGTTGAAACGACAAAGCTGGAGCCTATCCCCCCTGCCAGTCAACCCGTCTGACATTCAACCGGAGAGGAAGGAGAATTGGATTGGAGGTAGTATGGGAAGGAGAGGAGAGAGGTGTGAGGAAGCTGGGACGGTCACTGCTGTCTATGAGTCCGTGCTCATAAAAGTTGTCCCCCCGTTGATATCACAAAGCTGGAACTAATCTCCCCAGCCACTCGCCCCATCTGACAAGGCAAAGCAAGAGGAAGGGAACAAAACGGGGGGAGGGGGGAGGTGGGAGAAGGTGAATTGCGGGTCGCTGCTGTCTGTCAGCCCGTCCTCAAGAAAGTTATCCCCCGTTGAAATGACGCAGCTGGAGGCGATCTCCCCTGCCACTCGCCCCATCGGATATGCGAAGAGTGAGGAAGGGGGAGTATTAGGAAGAAGGAGGGAAGGGGGGACAGGGGGTCTTTAGGGTAACGGTTGCAGGTCTGTCTGTCAGTCCGTCCTCATAGAAGCTGGAACTGACCTCCCCCGCCACTCGCCACATCTGACACGAGAACGGAGAGGAAGGAAGGGGGGGCAGGAGTTGAAGGGTGGAGAGAGGTGTGAGGAAGCTGAGATGGTCGCTGCTGTCTGCATAGGGGTCAGCCCGACCTCATATAAGTTGTCCCCCGTTGAAATCACAAAGCTGGAACGATCTCCCCTGCCACTCGCCCCATCTGACAGTGGCGAGGGAAGCGGGAGGGGAGCAATGTGAGGGAGGCCGCTCGTTGAAAGAGCGCAGTTGAAGGGATGGCAGGGACACGCGGCCCCACCCACTCAAAAAACCCCTTCTCGTCCACAGGCACCCGGGCCCGCGTGGTGTGGGAAGTGCTTGGGCCGGTGCGGCGAGGCGTGGGAAGTGCGGATAGGGGGCTCGCCGCGGCAGTATGATACTTGGGTGACACTTTTTGAGAATTCTCAAAAGGTATGGACGGGTGGTGCTCGCGAGTATGTGGCGGCGCATCGGCGCAGGAAAGACGCGCACGCCGCCCGGGATAATTTGAGTATGCTGCTCAAGGGTGGAGATTTCTGGAGAGCGTGGGAGAAGGGGCCTCTTCTCGGCGGGTGGGTGTGGCGAGGGAGACGGGGGATAGGCGGAGACGGTGAGACCCGTGAGAAAGGGGGAAAGAGTGAGAGGGGTAAGGAGAGGGGGAAGGAGTGAGAAGGAAAGGGAGTGAGAGGGGGCGCGACAGCAGCATAAATTCTGGCGCGTAGAGGGGGGACGGGGGGGACGTAGCAGCAGCGAGAAGTGGCTCGTTGAGGAGGGAAGAGGTGGATAAGAGAGAATCACGAGAAAGGAAACAGAGCCAGGAGAGCGAGGGATAAGGAGGAGAAGAACTCACGGCAAAGAATCGAAGAGCACGAGGAGAGACTCGATTTCCAGCCTAAGAGTTTGCGAGATGGCGGAACGAGGAGGAGAGCAAGGGAGGAGGAGCGGAACTCACAAAATTGCAAAAACAACGGCCTTGCTAGTCCTGGAGGCGTGAGAGTCGGCGAGCGACACGTGAGTAAGCTCCGACCGGCTGGTCTGCGGGAAACTTGGATCTAGAAGAGTAAGAAATCGGATTCTTCCGCCGAGTGAGTATGAATCTGAATTCCGACGAGTGAGGATGGATCTGAATTCCGCCGCGGATTTAGTGAAAAACGCACTCCTAACTCAGCATACTGAGAGATAGCCGTGAGGCGACAGTGACAGGGTGACGCGTGGCCGCAAGCGAGGGACGCCTTCCCGTTTGAGACCTGCTAAGGCAAGCGCGGCTCGGGTTACAGCTGGTTGTGCTGGTTGTGTGGGGTATGTCGAATTGGTGGATGCATGCAGTACAGCTCCTCCTCGTCGCGTGAATTCTCCAACACACCAAACTTCGTTTGCCTATGTAAGAATTTCATAGATGTACCGTACTTGCATTCTCTTAGTAACACTTACAGTGACAACTTATGTAGTAAATTTGCATCTCCTATTAAATGGAGAGGGTGCAAGAGGCTTTTGAAAAGCAAAACAAAAAAGAAGAGCCAACTCATGATGCTACGTCTCACAAATTCATCTCAAGGCATGCTTTTCACAGGGCTTGTGCATCTAACCACGCGAACAAGGGTTTGACCTTGGGGTTTAGGGCGTGTGCACCTAGGCACACCAGGTATGGACTCGTACACAGGTTCCTGAATCCATAACCATGAAAGGCACGCAGCGAGCTTTACATGATTGTACGTTGACTCACACGTACAACAGGGACTTGTGCTGCTGTGCATTGGGTATCATGCACAGTTTTGTGCATAAAATCACGCCAACAAGGCTTGTGCCTTGAAGACGCACACTAATTACAGGGCTTGGTTCCAAACCATCATGGTTAGCTAGCCACACAGAGAGCTTGTGCACCAGGGCTTGCGTATTGAACATAGTGACTACAGAACTTGTGCAACGGAGAGCACCAGTTACTAAAGCTTTTGCAGGAGGCGCACGGATTGCCCATCTCAGACGTCAGAAGTAGGCAGCACGTGGGTGAAGCAGTAAGCAGATGGGTGGGCAGATGTCACACGTGCGAATCCGGTGGCGTGTTGGCTTGCCCACTCGTCAGCAAGCATGTGGGGTTGATTGATTACTCATCATCTGAGTCAATGAGAATGACCTGTGCTGCCATGCCCCCTGCTGTGATAATGCACACATGACAAAGAGGTAGAGAGGCGGAGAGGTAGAGAGGAGGCAGAGATGCATGTGGGGGGCAATGGCAGAGGGGAAGAGAGGCACCGATGAGGATGTGAAAGGAGAAACTTGGTGGTGCATGAAAGCAACTGCAATGGGACAGAAGTGGAGTGAATGGAGGGATGGGAGGAGACAGACGGAGAGAGGACAGACGAAAGAAGAAAGAGGAGAGAGGAAAAAGGAGAGAGGAGAGAGGAGAGTGGAGAGAAGTGAAGAGAGAGGAGCGAGGAGGGAGGAGACAGGAGAGAAAAGAGAGGACTGTGAAGCGAGTAAGACAACTCCTTCTCACCATGCATGTGCCCCTGCTGCTGGACGTGTGGGGCGGGAGCTTGTTGGGGCTGTGACATGTCAGGGAAGTGGGTTGGGTTGGCGTTGAGAGGAGCATGGGGGCCAGTTGACGGAGGATGCATGGCATGTGAGGGATGCGAGGCGGCATTGCACTGCCCATGGGGCTGCGGTGCATGGGGCTGTGGTGCATGGGGCTGTGGTGCATGGGGCTGTGGTGCATGGGGCTGTGGTGCATGGGGCTGGGCATGCGGTTGAGTTGAGTGGCTTTGGGCGTGGGGTTGGGTATGTTGTGCATAAGGTTGAGCATGTTGCGCATGGGGTTGGGCATGGATGGCATGGGGCAATGTGGCATGGGCCGATGGGGCATAGGGCTGCGCATGGGACGATGCTGCAGCTGCGTGTGGGGATGTGGGGTTGGGAAGGGGCGGCGAGAACGTCGTTGCGGGCGGTGAGCGGAGAGCATGTGAGAGAGCAGCGGGAGAAGAGGGTGCAATAGGTACAGCTGTAGCGACGAGGGCAGAAGGAGAAATTGCGGCAGCAGCACGGGAAACGGCAGCAGTGGCAGCGGAAGGGGAATGTGGAGCAGGCAAAGGAGACATGGAAGCAGGAGGTGCAGCAAACACTCGATTCACTCCTGAAACTGTGAATAGCTGTGAGTTCTGCTGCTGCTGCTGTTGCTGTTGCTGCTGCTGCTGCCATTGCTGTGGCGGCTGCTGTTGCAACAGCCATCGGTGCACAAAAGCATTTTCCATGGCAGCTATGTCTTGCACTGCTGATACAGGCATGCCACGCTGCTGCTGCTGCTGTTGCTCTTGGTGCTGGTGTTGCTGCTGGTGCCGCTGCTGCGGCTGTTGCTGTTGGTGCTGCTGCTGCTGCTGCTGCTGCTGCTGTTGGTGTTGGTGTTGTTGCTGTTGCTGTTGCTGCTACTGCTGCTGCTGCTGTTGTTGGTACTGCAGTTGCTGCTGCTGCTGCTGCCACAGTTGCTGCCATTGTTGCTGCTGCTGCTGCTGCCACTGCTGCTGCTGCTGACGTTCTTGCTGCTGCTGGTAGTGCTGTCGTTGCTGCTGATGGGTCCGTTGAGAGCTCAGACAAGGCAAGCCACCCGTGTCAGCAGCTGCACCTGCTGTGTTAGCAGCAGCACCTGCAGAGGCAGCAGTGGTGGGAGGAAAGGCACGGGGGAGTGGAGCGACGGCCACTCGAGCAGACGGCACAGCGCCAGCAGTGGCAGCAAGAGGTGCAGCAGCGGCAGGAGAAGCAGCAGGAGAGGCAGCAGCTCTGGCACCAGCATTTGTAGCAGCAGCAGAGAGAGAACGGCTTGGCATGCCCACCACAGGATGTGGCACAGAGGGCATGTGTGCACGCACATGCACATTCTGCTGCTGCTGCATCGGCACCTGCTGCTGCTGTTGCTGCTGCCGGATCAGCGCTTGCTGGCTTGAGAAAACAGCAGCAGACGCAGGAGCTGGCGTCACAGGGTCTTGGTGAGGGGCAACTGCAGACACATTCACGCTAGCACTCACTGCACCCATGGCCGCATTCATTGCACTCACTGCAGCACTCCGTGCCGCTCGCATGCTCGTTCTGCCTGGATGGACGGTGGCTGGTGTGCCGGCAGCTGCTGCTCGAGTGCCAAGTCCTGCTGCAGGCAACGTTGCTGTGGTTAAGGGCTCACCCATCCCCCCCACACCACCACCTGTAGCAACCCTTGCACCACTGGCATGCGCACCACCTGCAGAAGCCCCAGCAGTCCCAGCAGTCCCAGCAGTTCCAGCACCACCTCCAGCAACCCTTGCTCCCGAACCTGCTGCTCCCGAGGCTGCTGCCCCCGCCCCACTTGAATACTTCGCCTGCCAAGCCTGCAGCAGCGGAATCTGACCATCCACCATCCCTATGGCCTCCCTTGTCCTCTCCATTTCTGCCGCCCCTTTCGCTCTCACTCCCACCTTCCTCCTCTCAAACCGCTGCCGCACCAGCGCCACCTGGCGCTCCATTTCATCGTCCAGCTGGCGCTCTACTGCCAGCGTGGCAGCCTGCTGGTGCTTCATAAGATCCTCCAGACGCAGCCGCTCTGCCAGCATGATATCCCGTGTGGCACGGGTGAGACCCTGGGCGGCAGTGAGAGAGGCACTGTCCATGGGTATGTGGTCTGAGGGGGGGGGAGTGGTGCTGGCACTGCCAGGCACAGCAGCAGCAGCAGTGTAACCATTCTGCTGCTGCTGCTGCTGCTGCTGCTGCTGCTGCTGAAGGTCGGTGATGAGCAGGCGTTGGTGCTGCAAGGCGTTGAGGCGGTGCAGGAAGCTCAGGCGCGGAGGGGATGGCTGTCGTGGCGGCCTGCGCATGCGCGGGGGAGGCAGATCAGAGACAGCATGTGGTGTGCGCTCTGCTGCTACTGCTGCTGCCGCCGCCGCTGCTGCTGCTGCTGCTGCTGCTGGTAGTGGTGGTAGTGGTGGTAGTGATGGTGCTGCTGGTGGTAGTGGTAATGGTGCTGGTGCTTGTGCTGGCGCTGGTGCTGCTGCTATTGCTGGTTCTGCTGCTGCTGCTGGTTCTACTGCTGATGCTGTTACTGGTGCTGGTGCTGCTAGTTCTAGTACTACTGTTGGTGCTGCTGCCACTAGCACGGATACTGGTGGTGCTGCTAATGTTGCTGGTGGTGGTGCAGGTGCCACTGGGGCTGCTGCTGCTGCTGCTGCTGCTGCTGCTTCTCCCTCTCCCTTCCCTACTGGTTCTGCATCTGCATCTGCCATCGCCACCTCCCCTGCTCCCTCATCGGTTCTTCCTGATCCTTCCCCACTCGCAATCCCTGTCACTACAGCTGCTTGTGCTCCCTCCCCTCTCTCTCCTGCCTCTGCCTCCTCTGCTCCCTCTGCTCCCTCTGCTCCCTCTTCCCCCTCTGGCCCCACAGCCCCCCCTCCCTCCACACCCTCACCTCCCTCTACTCCCTCTGCCATTTCTGCCCTTTCTGCCGTTTCTGTTCCCACTGCTTCCTCTGCCCCCTCTGCTCCTTCTGCTTCCACCCCTGCCTCTGCTCGCTCTGCTCCAGCCGAAGAAAGGCCATTTTGACCCTGCTCCTTCTCGACCCCCTCCCTCCCTACCTCTCCTCCTTCCTCCTGGCCCCTCTTGGATGCATGTAGTGCGGCTGTATCCAGTGCGGCTGTATCCGGTGCGGCTGTATCTGGTGCAGCTGTATCCGGCGCTGGAGTTGTAGTTGCTGCAACGATGTCTGCTACAGCTGTGTCTGCTACAGCTGTGTCTGCTACAGCCATGTCTGCTACTGCTGTGTCTGCTACAGCTGTGTCTGCTACAGCCATGTCTGCTACTGCTGTGTCTGCTACAGCTGCGTCGGCTGCACTTGCTACAGCTGTCTCGGCAGCACCTGTGTCTGCTACAGCTGCGTTGACAGCAGATGTGCTCTTGGGGGAAGCATCTGCTACAGGGACGTCAGGTGCAACAGTGTCGACTGCAGCAGTGTCGACTGCAGCAGTGTCGACTGCAACAGTGTCGACTGCAGCAGTGTCGACTGCAGCAGTGTCGACTGCAACAGTTTCGAGAGGCACAAGCGCGCTTTTCCCTTTCTCCTCCTGCCCGCACTCACCGCCCTCACCCTGAGTTGACGCCACTTCCCTCCGATCCCCCACTTCCCTCCCATCCCCCAATTCCCTCTCCTCCCGCACTTCCTTTCCATTCCCTCCTTCCTTTTCCCCCACCTCCATATCCTCCCCATCTCTCCTCTCACCCCTCTCCCTCCCCACACCATCTGCACCGTCCATCTCTCCTTCCTCCCTGCCACATGTTTCCACCTCAACCGCTTGCTGCTTCTCCCCTTTCTCCCCCTCACCTCCTTCCGCCTCCTTCCCTGGCCCTCCCCCTTCCTCTCTCCCTATTTTCTCCTCGTCACCTACCTCCTTCCCCAATTCAACCTCCCCTCTACCCTCCTCTCTGGCCTCCTCCGCCCTTCCCTTCTCCTCCATCCGCCCTTCAATCTCCTGCCCGTCTCCAGCCATCCCATCCACGGATTTCTCCCCCCCTTTCATCACCCCCACCTCGCTATCACCACTCTCCTTCTGCCCATTCCTTACCTCTACCGCCGCCTGTCCGCTTCCTCCCACTGATATCACCTCCCCTTCACCACGCTCACTCTGGCTGTCCCTTAGCTCCACCGCCGCCTGACCGCGTTTCCCTGCAATCACATCCACGCCCACCAGCTTCTCCCCCGTTGTAATCACCTGATCCGCCACACCCATTGATATCCCCACATCGTTAACCGCCCCCACCTCTCCTTCACCACCCTCCTTCTGCCCGTTCCTTGGCTCCACCGCCGCCTGACGGCCTTTCGCTGATATCACATGCACACCCACCAACCTCTCCCCTGCTGTAACCCGCCCCGCCTCTCCTCCAAGCCCCTCTTTGGGCATCGCCCCATCCTCTTGCGCCTGCCTCTCCATGCCTCCTTCCTCCCCTCCCATGCCTTCCTCCTGCCCGTTCAAGCCAGCCTCGCGCCTTGATCGCTTGCCCAGCACAGAGCTCCCCGCACTCCTCTCCACTGCAGCCCTCCCACTCGGCATCTCTCGCATCGCACCATCTGCACCATCCCCACGCCGCTTGGTCACCCCAGCAGCCCCAGCAGCCCCAGCAGCCCCAGAAGCAGATGCAGTTGAAGCAGCCACAACAGCAGCAGCAGCTGCAACAGCTGCATCAAACTCTGCACGCAACAGCTGCCCATGACCATCCCCCCCTTTATCTGCCTCTCCTGCCATCCCCGCTCCCTCTTCCTCTCCCCGGACTTTCATCTGCCCATTCTGGGCCCCCTCCTTACTTCCTCCCACCCCCCTCCCTCCACTCCCTCGCCCTCCTACCCCCCTCCCTCTTCCCACTCTCACCAGCACACCTCCCCGCACCACTCCACAACCCCGTCGCACCGCTCTCCCTCCCGTTCTCCCCGGTAAACCCCCCTTTGACCCTCCGTCAGGGGATGGCCTTGCTTCAGTTTCCGCCCTGCCACGTGGACTGCTTGCTGCCACCTGGCTAAGGGGCTGTTCATGCCCCTCTCTGCCACGTGGGATGCTTGCTGGCACCTGGCCTGCCATCTCATCCATCTCTTCCCCACGTGTTTCCCTGCTTTCCGTTCCACATGTCACTGCATTTGATGGGCCAGCTGCCACCTGCTTCGCCACGTCATCCCTTTTGGTTCCTGTCTCATCTCCCTGCTTTCCACGTGCCCTTTCTTTCGGTGAGCCAGCTGGCATGTAATCTGCCACGTCATCCTCCCACTCATGCGCCTCAGCGCTCACCACGCCACATCTCCCTTCTTTTGTTGAGCCACGTGGCAGATCCTCCTGCCACCTCGGATCATCTAGATCACACGAGCCCGCTTGGTCGCCACGGAACCTCGCCTGAGATTTCACCTGAGAGTTACCACTGCTACCAGCTCCAGGGGGCCCATGGCACCAGTCAGGCGCACGGTCAGGTGAAAAAACAGGTGGAGAACGGCGTTCAGGTGGTAAGTCAGGGTGGTGCAGGACTCTGTTTGGGTGGTGGCTGTTTTCAGGCAGTGCTGGTGGGCTTGGAGGGCGATTAGCCGGCGGGAGTGACCGGGCTGGGTGCGCATTGGGAGGCGCAGGACGTGTGTGGGGACTGCTGGAAGGGGAATTGGACTTCTGGGTCGACACACGAGCCTTCTTGGAGGGGGAAAATGGCAGGGGCAGGGGCGGATGGGGGGTGGAGGCACGTGGGTGGTGAGGGCTGGAAGGTGCATTCGAAGGGGAGTTGGGAGGGGCGCGAGAGGTGGTAGGAGATTGGGGGTGGTTGCGGGGAGTGGGAGGAGGCGTAGGAGCGTGGTTGGAAGCAGCAGTGTGAGGATAATGGGGGTGGGCGTTTGGAGGGCGTGCGAGGAAAAAGGTGGGGGGATGGTTGGCATGGAAAAGCATAGGAAACCCAGGCGGATGATGACGTGGCAGAAAGGTAAGTGGACCGTGCTGACTGGGCAGATGTGGGCTGTGCTGATTGGGCAGATGTGGGCCATGCTGACTTGGCAGATGTGGGCCGTGCTGACTGGGCAGATGTGGGCCGTTTTGACTGGGCAATTGGAAACCACGGGGGCGTGGGAGGGATACGAACATAGGTGGATGGAGGGACGGAAACCCATGGGGATGACTGGGTCCCTGAGCAGACAATGCATGGGCCCGTTCAAATTCCTCATGAGTTCTGTGCACATGTGAGGCATGGGGAGAGGGCAGGGCGGTGAGGGGCGTAGGGAGCAACCCATGGGTCCTCACACACCTTGGGTCAAGGTTCAGACCTGCTCCCTCCCTTGACCCTTGCTGCCTGATTGCAAGGAAGTTTGGGGGGAGGTACGTGGCAGGGAGGGGGGCATGAACTGGCGGATGGGCGAGGGGGAATGGTGGGTGGAGGTGGGAGAGGGAGCGTGAGAGAGTGGATGGTTGGTTACGGGAGTGGCGGGATGGGGATGAGTGTGACCGGTGCAGCACGCTCTCTAGATGCTCATGCCCTGCCTGCCCACTGTGCTCACTCCGCCCATCCTGCTGCTGCTGCTGCTGCTGCTGCTGCTGCTGCTGCTGCCGCCGCTGCTGCTGATGCTTCTTCATTTTCTTCCTTTTCCTCTTCTTTTGTTCCTGCTCACCCGTTGCCAGGCTCCCTCCCTCTTCGGTGGCCCTGTGCTGCTCTGAGGAACGCCCATCATCATCATCACCACCACTTGCATCACTTCTCTCCTTCTCCTCCTCATGCCACTCCCCCTCCTCCATCTCCTCACTCCCCTCCTCGCCACCCTTGCCTAGCCTCTGCGCCCCATCAACCACTCCTCCCTCCCTTCCCAATCCGCCCTGCCTTCCCACTCCTCCCTCTCTTTCCACCCCTCGCTCCCCCTCTGCCCCAGTCAGCCTCGCTGCCCCTTCTTCTCCTCCTCTCCCTTTCCTCTCTGCATCCCCCACGATGTCTCCTCCTTTTCGCTCTGTCTCTCCCCTCGTCCCCGTCACTCCCTCGTCTCTTCGCCTGACACCATCCCTCCCTCGCTCGCCCAGTTGCCTCCTGGCCTCAGCCACAGCAGCCGCAACGCCACCTTCCCCTATCTCACTCAACCGCGACACACCACGTGCCCTTGCGCTGCCTTCACCGCTCATCAAAGTGCTTGCCCTGCCGTCACTGCTCCTCTCACTGGTTGCCACCCCTCTACACCGCACAGAACCGCCATCCGTTTTTTCAGCCTCACTCTCTCGCTCCTCTCCGCCCTCTCCGCCCTCTATGCCCTCTCTTCCCTCTCTCACCTCTCTGCCCTCTCCGCCCTCTTCGCCGTGCCCTGCTCCATCTGCTATGGCCCTGGACTCTCCTTCTGCCCTCCCTGCCACCCCTCTCTCCACTCCCAACCTCTTGCCTGCATTATCCCAAAGTTGCACTTCCTCCCCTCCTCCTCCTCCTCCTCCCACCACTCCTTCCATCCCATCTCGCCTCTCCTCCCCTGCCACCTCTTCCCCTCTGCCTGTCTCTTGCATCTCGTGTCTATTCTCTCTCCATTCCACCTCGTGCCCAACCTTCTCACTCTCTACCTCATGCCCTATCTTCTCACTCTCTGCCTCATGCCCTATCTTCTCACTCTCTACCTCATGCCCAACCTTCTCACTCTCTACCTCATGCCCAACCTTCTCACTCTCTACCTCGTGCCCTATCTTCTTGCTTCCCACCTCCTGCCCGGCCTCACCCCTTTGCATTTCCCCGTCCACCCTCTCCTCCCCCCCTCCCACTTTCTGCTCCTCCTCTTCCCCTCCCATTCTATACTCCTCCTCCTCTCCTCCCATTCTATGCTCCTCCACCCCCCCTCCCATTCTATGCTCCCCCTCCCCCCCTCCCACCCAATGCTCCTCCTCCTCCCCTCCATTCATTTGCTCCTCTCCCTCCTTTCCATTCCTTTGCTCCTCTCCCTCCTTTCCATTCCTTTGCTCCTCTCCCTCCTTTCCATTCCTTTGCTCCTCTCCCTCCTTTCCATTCCTTTGCTCCTCTCCCTCCTTTCCATTCCTTTGCTCCTCTCCCTCCTTTCCATTCCTTTGCTCCTCTCCCTCCTTTCCATTCCTTTGCTCCTCTCCCTCCTTTCCATTCCTTTGCTCCTCTCCCTCCTTTCCATTCCTTTGCTCCTCTCCCTCCTTTCCATTCCTTTGCTCCTCTCCCTCCTTTCCATTCCTTTGCTCCTCTCCCTCCTTTCCATTCCTTTGCTCCTCTCCCTCCTTTCCATTCCTTTGCTCCTCTCCCTCCTTTCCATTCCTTTGCTCCTCTCCCTCCTTTCCATTCCTTTCCTTTGCTCCTCTCCCTCCTTTCCATTCCTTTGCTCCTCTCCCTCCTTTCCATTCCTTTGCTCCTCTCCCTCCTTTCCATTCCTTTGCTCCTCTCCCTCCTTTCCATTCCTTTGCTCCTCTCCCTCCTTTCCATTCCTTTGCTCCTCTCCCTCCTTTCCATTCCTTTGCTCCTCTCCCTCCTTTCCATTCCTTTGCTCCTCTCCCTCCTTTCCATTCCTTTGCTCCTCTCCCTCCTTTCCATTCCTTTGCTCCTCTCCCTCCTTTCCATTCCTTTGCTCCTCTCCCTCCTTTCCATTCCTTTGCTCCTCTCCCTCCTTTCCATTCCTTTGCTCCTCTCCCTCCTTTCCATTCCTTTGCTCCTCTCCCTCCTTTCCATTCCTTTGCTCCTCTCCCTCCTTTCCATTCCTTTGCTCCTCTCCCTCCTTTCCATTCCTTTGCTCCTCTCCCTCCTTTCCATTCCTTTGCTCCTCTCCCTCCTTTCCATTCCTTTGCTCCTCTCCCTCCTTTCCATTCCTTTGCTCCTCTCCCTCCTTTCCATTCCTTTGCTCCTCTCCCTCCTTTCCATTCCTTTGCTCCTCTCCCTCCTTTCCATTCCTTTGCTCCTCTCCCTCCTTTCCATTCCTTTGCTCCTCTCCCTCCTTTCCATTCCTTTGCTCCTCTCCCTCCTTTCCATTCCTTTGCTCCTCTCCCTCCTTTCCATTCCTTTGCTCCTCTCCCTCCTTTCCATTCCTTTGCTCCTCTCCCTCCTTTCCATTCCTTTGCTCCTCTCCCTCCTTTCCATTCCTTTGCTCCTCTCCCTCCTTTCCATTCCTTTGCTCCTCTCCCTCCTTTCCATTCCTTTGCTCCTCTCCCTCCTTTCCATTCCTTTGCTCCTCTCCCTCCTTTCCATTCCTTTGCTCCTCTCCCTCCTTTCCATTCCTTTGCTCCTCTCCCTCCTTTCCATTCCTTTGCTCCTCTCCCTCCTTTCCATTCCTTTGCTCCTCTCCCTCCTTTCCATTCCTTTGCTCCTCTCCCTCCTTTCCATTCCTTTGCTCCTCTCCCTCCTTTCCATTCCTTTGCTCCTCTCCCTCCTTTCCATTCCTTTGCTCCTCTCCCTCCTTTCCATTCCTTTGCTCCTCTCCCTCCTTTCCATTCCTTTGCTCCTCTCCCTCCTTTCCATTCCTTTGCTCCTCTCCCTCCTTTCCATTCCTTTGCTCCTCTCCCTCCTTTCCATTCCTTTGCTCCTCTCCCTCCTTTCCATTCCTTTGCTCCTCTCCCTCCTTTCCATTCCTTTGCTCCTCTCCCTCCTTTCCATTCCTTTGCTCCTCTCCCTCCTTTCCATTCCTTTGCTCCTCTCCCTCCTTTCCATTCCTTTGCTCCTCTCCCTCCTTTCCATTCCTTTGCTCCTCTCCCTCCTTTCCATTCCTTTGCTCCTCTCCCTCCTTTCCATTCCTTTGCTCCTCTCCCTCCTTTCCATTCCTTTGCTCCTCTCCCTCCTTTCCATTCCTTTGCTCCTCTCCCTCCTTTCCATTCCTTTGCTCCTCTCCCTCCTTTCCATTCCTTTGCTCCTCTCCCTCCTTTCCATTCCTTTGCTCCTCTCCCTCCTTTCCATTCCTTTGCTCCTCTCCCTCCTTTCCATTCCTTTGCTCCTCTCCCTCCTTTCCATTCCTTTGCTCCTCTCCCTCCTTTCCATTCCTTTGCTCCTCTCCCTCCTTTCCATTCCTTTGCTCCTCTCCCTCCTTTCCATTCCTTTGCTCCTCTCCCTCCTTTCCATTCCTTTGCTCCTCTCCCTCCTTTCCATTCCTTTGCTCCTCTCCCTCCTTTCCATTCCTTTGCTCCTCTCCCTCCTTTCCATTCCTTTGCTCCTCTCCCTCCTTTCCATTCCTTTGCTCCTCTCCCTCCTTTCCATTCCTTTGCTCCTCTCCCTCCTTTCCATTCCTTTGCTCCTCTCCCTCCTTTCCATTCCTTTGCTCCTCTCCCTCCTTTCCATTCCTTTGCTCCTCTCCCTCCTTTCCATTCCTTTGCTCCTCTCCCTCCTTTCCATTCCTTTGCTCCTCTCCCTCCTTTCCATTCCTTTGCTCCTCTCCCTCCTTTCCATTCCTTTGCTCCTCTCCCTCCTTTCCATTCCTTTGCTCCTCTCCCTCCTTTCCATTCCTTTGCTCCTCCTCCTCCCCTCCAATCCCATACCCCTCCTCCTCCCCTCTAAGCCTATGCTCTTCCTCCTCCTCCAGTCCAGTCCTATTCTCCCCCTCCTGCCTTCCAATCCTATGCTCCTCCTCCCCTAACGTCCCATGCCCCTCTTCCTCACGTCCCTCTCCTCTTCCCTCCTCTTCCCTCCCTCCTCCTTCACAAACCCCTCTTCCCTCCTCTTCCCTCCCTCCTCCTTCACAAACCCCTCTTACCTCCTCTGCAACAGCTTCCAAATCCCTCATAGACAAAACACCTCTCACAGGCTCGGAAACAACCGGACCTGCAGGTCCGGGCCAAGCCAGAGCCCGATCCAGAGTCACAGACGTGACGGGCTCAGAATGCAGGGCACTGTTCCCCGCCCATTCTTTCACACTCCGCTTGTTCGCCGCCCAGAATAAAAGAATCTCCCTCAACTGCTGCCTCACGCCTGCGTCACCTTCCCCGCTGCCCCATCCCTTCCCCCTGCACTCAATCCTATGCCCCTCTCCTGCCTCCTCCTCGCCAACTCCCTTCCCATTAGCACTCCCTCCCCCCCTTCCCTGCTGCCTCACGTCCCCTCTCCCCGCAACACCGTCACTCCGTCCCTCCCCATCTCCTTCCTCCATAGAACCAGCACAGCCGTCCACCCTTCGCCTCTTGCCACTCTGATTGCCTTCCCTCCCCTTCCTTGGCTCCTCCTCCTCCTCCTCCTCCTCCTCCTCCTCCTCCTCCTCCTCCTCCTCCTCCTCCTCCTCCTCCTCCTCCTCCTCCTCCTCCTCCTCCTCCTCCTCCTCCTCCTCCTCCTCCTCCTCCTCCTCCTCCTCCTCCTCGTCCCCGTGTTCCGCGTCCCTCTCCCAACCCCCCTCCCTCCCACCAGCACGCCTCTTCACTCCTCTCCTCGCCTCCCACTGTATCTCCTCCCCTTCTCCACGGACCCCTCCGCCTACCTCCACCCCTACGCCTCTCACCTCTCCCCTACTCTCCTCTCGCTCCTCACTTCTCTCCTCCCCTATCGTCCCTCCCACCCCGCCCGCAAATCCCCCCACCGTCCTCCCCAGGCCCCTCTGCAGCGGGCGCCACTCAGAATGTTGAGTCCTCGCAAAGCCTCTCTCTGCCCCATGCCAGGCGCTTTCCAGCAGCCGCTGCTCCTCAGTGGCGGGGCAGTAGAGGCGCAGCACGGTGAGATGTGGTACGCTGCTGCCTTCTTGCCGTGGGGGCGAGCTTGGAGCGTGGCAGGTGTCTCGGTGGAAGAGCAAGGAGGCGAGCAGGCGCTGCACGGCATGGTAGGGACGAAGGGGGGAGGGGGGGGGGTGGAGAGAAGGGCGAGACGGGCGAAGGGGGGGAGGAGAATAAGGGCGAGGATGAGGTGGAGAAGAGGGGTCATGACCTTTCTTGATGCTGTCAGTCATGGAGATTTGAGCATCAAGTGTGGGGGATGGCACTTGCGGAGGGAGGAGTTGCAGAGGAACATCGCATCGCAGCTGATTATGCTATTGAACTTGCAGTGACACAAACGACCACGACCCACTCACCGACCCACACTCACTCGCTCCCACAACCACTGTCACAGACAGCCATAGCCACAGCCACACCTTTCACCCCCACCCGCACCCACACCCGCACCACAGCCACTGACCTGAGTGGTCAAGGAAGGAGTTGCGGAGTCATCCACGAGTATCACCACGTCTATAGCATCCAGATCCACGCCCATTGACACCACTGCACCTGGCGCCAGCACCACAAACGGACGCTCCATGCATGCCCCTGCCCACTGCTGCCCTCCCTGCTGTTCTCCCTGCTGCCCTCCCTGCTGCTCTCCCTGCTGCGCTTGTTCCTCCTCTCTCTCCTTCTCATCTTCCTCCTCTCCTTCACCACACGCCCCTTGCTCCCACCCTCCCTCCACTCGCGCCTGCCATTGCGCTTCCACCCCTGTTCCCTCATTCCTCTCTTGCCCTTCCTCCTCATCCTCCCTCTCCTCATCCTCTTCCGCAGCCTCCTCCTCGCCCTCGTGCTGCACCCCCCACATACTCTCCCCCGCGAACCCCTCGTCCATCTTCTCCTCTTTCACTCTTCTCAGCGCCTCGCCACTGCCCTCTCCCCTCACTAGCCCCTTCCCCGATCCACCCCCCCCATCCATTGACTCACCACCCCCCTCCACCGACTCACCACCACCCTCCACCGATTCACCATCCTCCTCCACCTCACACGCCATCCACACCGGCATTCGTACCACCGAGTATTCCTCCTCCTCCACCTCTTCTTCCTTCACCCCTTTCACCTCCACCCCCACCTCCTCTCGACCCTCCTCTTCCAACCCCACCCCCACCTCCTCCTCCACCTCCTCTTCCACCTCCTCCTCCACCTGCTCCAGCTTCACACTCACTCCCACCTCGCTCTCCCCTCCCCGTCCCTGCCCCCTCACCACCTCCCCACTCTCCTCGCCTTCACACTCTCGTTCCTCCACCATCTGGCCCCTCCTGCCCCTCCCCTGCGGCCTACCCCTGGCTTGCTGCGTACCCCTGCCATACTGCCTACTCCTGGTGTGCTGCCTATCCCTACCACAACTCACCCCACCTGCGCCACTTCCAAATCGCCTCTCTTCACCGCCTCTTACCCCGCGCCTGTCCCTTCCCCTGCGCCTATCCCTTTCAACGCGCCTATCCCTAACCGTTCCACCATTTCTCCCCCGAACCACCACCCTGCCACAACTCAGCCTAATCCCCACTGCCCTTCTGCCATTCCTTCTGCCCCCACCATTACTTCCTCCGCCCTCTCTCCCCACTCGCCGCTCCTCTGCCCCTCGGTTCCGCCCCCTCACGCCCCCCCACTGTCTCCTGCTGCCACCAGTCGCTGCTCCCCCACCAATTGTTCTTCCCCTCATTCCTCCTCCACCCACTCCTCCCCCACCCATTCCTCTCCCACCCACTCTTCTCCCACACACTCCTCCCCCAGAACCTCCCACCCCCCCACGCCCACCCCCACCACGCACGCCCCTTGCTCTGCCAAACAGCACCTCCGCTGGTCCTCCCCGCACCACACCCCAGCCCTGCTCGCCCGGAGCCCCTCTCACCAACCGGGCGAGCGTGTGGGTGCAGGCAGCAGGGGAGTCGGACGAGTGCAGGCGGAGGAACGCACTCCCACTGCTGCCCCACTGCTGAGCGAGCATGCTGGCTAGCGCCTCCCTCACTTGCGCACTCTGCAGGGTAGGATTGCACGACAGTTGGAAGAGAACGAGCAGGAAAGTCAGTTGGGTTGACGCTGACTGGATACCACGAGAATTGGTTGGGGACGAGCAAAGCAGGGGAGGGTTGAGTTCTAGTAGGTTGCGGGCTTTTCTGCAAGACAACACATGCAGAGACCACGGGTAACCAACAGGAGTAGGAAAAACACGATTGTTATTGAGAAGGTGTGAGACCTCTCAGGGTGGTTTGGAAACACGTGTTGATTCTCAGTGCAAAAGTCAAAGATGCACTCACATGGGCCAGCAGCAGAACGGTCTTCCCTTTTCGTTGGAGACATGGCAGCATGGTACTCAGCAGCCGCAGCTTCCCACTGCTCTGCGTGCCATCTGCGCTGCTAGGCCTTGCCTCCTCTGCTGCTGCTGCTCCTGCTGCTGCTCCTGCTGCTGCAGTATCACCGGCAGAAGCAGGCATAGGAGCAGGTGCAGGAGTGGCAGCAGCAGGTTCAACAGCAGCAGCAGCAGCAGCCGCAGCAGCAGTGGCATTTCCAGCAGCGGTAGCAGAAGCGGCAGGAGGAGCAGGGGGCCTGGGAGCGCTAACAGTCGGGTGGCCAGGGCATGGAGCAGGTGAGAGAAGCTGTGGGTGGTGGCAGCACTGCAGCAGTCTCCTCTGTAGAGCAGTGAAGGCTGGTGCGGGCAGTGCAGCAGCCCCGGCTTGGGCTCGCACTCTCCCTGCTCGCTTCAGCTCTCGCATCGTCGCCCTGCGTTGAAGTGACGGGGCGTGAGTGAGGCTGGTGGAATAAATACTACTACTACTACTACTACTACTACTACTACTACTACTACTACTACTACTACTACTACTACTAATAGTAATAATAATAATAATAGTAATAATAATAATAATAATAATAATAATAATACAACAACAACAACCAAAGAAAGAAAGAAAGAAAGAAAGAAAGAAAGAAAGAAAGAAAGAAAGAAAGAAAGAAAGAAAGAAAGAAAGAAAACACTAACAAGGATTACCTGTAGAGCACGCGCTGGTGGGGAGTGAGACTGGCAGGCCACCAGATCTCCCTCACCACCCTCCCCCTCACTGCCCACGTCCTTCTTAAAGCCCACTCCCTCCCCTCTCGCTCTGCTCCCCAAGCCGCCACAAATGACCCACCAACCCCCTCACCACCCTCCATCCCTTCCCCCCACTCCCTCCTCCTGTCCACCTGCTCCCCCGTTTCCAACCCATCCCTCCTGTCAACCCATTCCCTTCCTTCCGCCCCCTCCTCTTCCCACTCTCTCCCTGCGCCAGCATCACCACGCTCCCTCTCATCCCCACCTCGCCCCAGGTTCAACCCCACATCCAGCACATGCCACTGCCTGCCACCATTACTACTGCCCCTGCCAGAACCACCACGCTCACCACCACCACTGCCCCATCCCTCCTTCCTCCCATCCGTCGCCTCCACCTCCTCCACCCCCCTTCCCGACCACATGGCTGCTGCAGCCCACACCGCGGCAGCAGCAACAGCTGCACGCCCCGCTGCTGCTGCAACTGCTGCGGCTTCCCCTCCTCCTCTGCCTGCTGCTGCCCTTGCTGCTGCAGCCTGATTATCATCATCATCCTCATCATCGTCATCATCATCAGTATCATTTCCGCCCCCCACTGCCCTTGCTTCCTCCACTGCTGCCTCTGCGGTCACAACAGCAGCAGCAGCAACAGAGAGTCGCTCCCATGCCCGCGCTGCACTCCCATGCCTCTGCTGCTCACTCTGCTGTTCACTCTGCCGGCCACCCTCCTCCTGAATCCGCTGCTCTGAGCCTCTGGAAGAAGCACACACGAGCAGGCGTGCATGTAGAGCGAGGGGCGGAGGGGCACATGGTGGCTGGTGACACGGCGCCACCTCAGCATGCTGGGAATCGGCCTGGAAAGAACTAATCATGGACTGCCACGTGTCAACATTTAAGTGGATGCCTGGTGGCGGGGTTTCCACGAGCACAGCTTCCCAATGCACCTGGGAGAGGCGACCTGCCTCCTGCAAATCCGATCCGCACACAGTCAAAATCCAACGGCTCAGAGTGAGTCGTCACGTTTCAGGCTTTAAGTGAAAGCGTCTCAAGGGAGAATCAACTTTCATAAACAGACTGAGATTTAAGTTGGAACGGACGGGCTAGCAGACACGGCAAGGGCAGGCAGGGTGGAGGAGGGGGAGAACAGGTTGGGGGGGAGGGGGGGGGGAAGCAGCAGGGCATGTTCGAGTGGACTCATGAATCACCTTGCCTGCAGCGGGGAGCAGCTTACATGCACGAATATCGCTGCTGTGGTGACAACCACTTGCGGCTGGACCACGATGCCTGATTCCGCTGGTGCCCCTGGCGTGTCAGCAGCACCACTGCCAGGCTGAGCACGGGCACTCGCACTGGCAGCAGCGCCAGCAGCAGCGCATGCAGCGGCACTGTCAGCAGGCAGCATCTCCCTGTCCCATATGGCCTCCAGCTCCGCCTCTGACCCCCCCACGTACTTCAACACATGAATCTCCCCTCGCTCCCCCACCACCACCCCTCCCACTGCTGCTTCCGCCACTGCTGCTGCTGCTGCTGCCCCTCCTCCTGCAGCAGCTGTTCGTGCAGCAGCTGCTGCTGCTGCAGCTGGTGGCGGTGCAGCAAGGACAGGGCAGGGGGAGCGGAGATCGGAGCACCAGCGGGCAGCGTGGCGGGGAGAGGGGGAGATGACGAGGATGGGGCGCACGCACTTGAACTGAGTGATGAGGGCGCGGCAAAACGCCACGAGCACACGGGAGCTGCCCTGCCCAGGGGGGCGATATGAGGGGCGGTGGGGTGAGATGAGGAGCGGTGAAAGGGTGTTTTAGAGGTGGCTCCAGGCAATTGAACCAGGTGAGTGAGGCATGAGTACGGTGCAGTAAGGAGAAGCAGGGAGATACTCATGCTCATGCTCATGTGCTATGCTTACTCACCATGCCAGGGTCCATGCACAGCAGTGCACGCCTTCCCACCTCATCGTCCACCCCTCTATCTCCCTCTAACCCCTCCGCCTCCGCTCCCGCCCCGGCATCACCACCAGCAGGCCAGGCGCCAGCAGCTCGCAAGTCACAGCCCAGCCCGCGCCTGCTCTCCCCCACGGACCCCCACACAGCGTTCAACGCGCGGTCAAGGGCGGCCCCATCGCACTGCCATAGGGCTCTCAGCCAATCCAGGGCCGCCACCTGGAACCACGTGAGGTGGACCGACTCTGCGTGCTGGGCCTCGTTTGGCTGGTGGATGGCTGCGATGCCGTTCGGATGGTGACGCTGTGATAATGCGAATGGAGCAGCGCGTCTGGCTCTTGCCTGAGAGGAACATGAGTGATGTTATGATCGGGGGGGTGATGATAGCAGCGAGCAGGCACATAGGGAGGATGTGAGCAGAGGGAGGCTCACGGAAGGACTTGCTGACAGCACAGCACAGCACAGCACAGCACAGGCACGTGCATGCAATCAAGGCTCTACAGCGACATGCATCACTGCTATGCAACGGACTGCACCGCACTGCATTCCCATGTATCTCCACTCACACCCCCACTCCCTCCCATGCCCCGCCTGCAAACACAAAGTGCCATGCGAGGAAAAAAACCCGCAGAATAACCCAATACCCAGGTAGGAACACACACACATACGTACCTCCAGCCTGGCCTGTGCTGTGGCTCTGCGCTCACACCCCTCCCTCTCCCTCTCGTGCGTCGCCTGCAGCACCATTCCACATGGCGTGGAGAGGAAGGGCATGTTGCAGGGCTCCCATGTCAGATGCTCGTACCCCACGCCCCTCCACTTCAGCAGCCTGGTATAACGCACCATGCAATGAGGACGAGAAGAGGAGAAAACATATCAGGTGATACGGGGAAGGAAAAGGGGGTGAGTGTCGCTGCTGCATTGCATCGGCAAGAAAGGATGAAGGACGAGCAACATGCTGAAACAGAAGCCCTCGCCCCTGTCATTTCGTCCATCTCTCTCTCTCACCACTGATACTCGTCTGCCACGCGTCTCAGCCGGCCTTTGCCGCGCCCCTTGCTGCCACCCTTGCCATGCGCCAGCCCCTCCACCTTGAACCGCCCCAGCAGCCGCTCCGGCTCCGCCCACTCGCTGCGGTACACAGGCAGCTGGGAATGGGGAGAGAGGAAGGGTGGGGGAGGTGGGTGTTCCTGAAGGGGAAAGTTTTGAGTTGACTTGAAAATTCCACTTGCTGCGAAACATGGGCAGCTGCGCTGCGCATGGGGAGAGGAAGGTGGTGCGTGTTTGTGGGGACATGCATGCACCACCAAGGAAGGAAGGAAACCGGTTTGTTTGAGGCAAGCCTTGCATACTTCAGTTCAGTTCAGGCCAGAGAGTCTGCACTGAGAAAAAATCCAAACCTCTGAATTTTCCAGCCACACACACACACACACACACACACACACACAGACACACACACACACACACACACCCACCCACACCCGAGCTCCAAAATTTAAAAGACTAGCACCATCATCACACAACACACCACACACATACTCACCTCGCCCTCCGCCTTGAGTGTCTCATACGCCGCCAGGTGGCCCGGGAACCGCGAGTGCAGCCACTCGCCATCCACCCACTCGTTGTGCACGTGAGGCCGCTTCAACCACTTCACCAGATACTCCCTCCCCCTGCCACGCCCTGCCTCCGCGCTCGCCCCACTGGGCCCCACACACGCCCCTGCTACAGCCGCATGAGTCTGTTCCCCTGCATCCCTGACAGAACAGCCAAGAGCTTCCACCCCCCCTCCATGCGCCACATTCAACCCATCCCCACCAATCCCCTCGTCCTGTCTTGCCCCCACCCCACCTTCTTCCAATACCAACCCTTTACCCCCCTTTCGCCTGCCTCCACCCCTCTGTGTCAACTTCCCTCCCCCTTTCCCCTTCCTTCCTGCTCTCGCCCCTGCCTTCCCCACTGCTTTCCCCCCCCTCCTCCCTCGCACCTCTCCCTCTCCCCCCACCGCCTTCATTTTCCTCATCTCCTCGTCATGCTGCCATGCCAGACTGCCCTCCCTCATCCCGCCTCCTCCCATCCCCATCTCCCCACCGCCCCCCTCCTCCTTCTCCCGATCCAGCCAAACCGACTCCACAACCACCTCGCCTAGAGCAAACCACTTCGCCGGATCCTCGCCATTAGACGCCCTGTTACTAGCACCAGAGGCCTTAGAACCCCCACCACGAACTGCTGTGAGACTGCCACCTCCTCCCCCCGCCTTGCCAGCACCGCCACTGCGGCTGCTATGAGCAACAGGAGGAGGAGCAGCAGCAGCAGCTGCAGCAGCGGAGGCACCCACACCGTTCACTTCATTAACCCCCCTGGCGACATCCCAATCCTCGTCTTCCAAACTCGCCTCACCACCCCCACCACCGAAACTTCCAGCCAACCCTTCCCTTCCAGGAGCATATGCACAGCCGGTTGCAGTAGTGGAGACGGGGGGATAGGGGAAGGGGCGGCGGGAGGTGCGGAGGCGTTCGAGGCAGTCAGGGCAGTACCAGGGCCCCTTGGGGGCGTGGGAGAGCTTGGGTTCCACACACTCCACGTGGCATGCCTTTGTACACGCAGGCCCGTCACAGCACCTGCCGTTGAGACGGGGAGGCACAGAGGAGAAGGAGAGATATGGCGTGGGTAGAGGTGAGGCGAGAGCAGAGCAAAGGCGAGGGCAGACAGAGCAAAGGCGAAGGCAGACAGAGCAAAGGCGAGGGCGACGGCGAAGCGAGGGAAGAGGTGAGGCGGGACTGACATGAGGAGGCCATGGCCGATGCACTTGAGGCAGTAATCCACGTGAAAATCCTCCTGGACTGTAATTGTAACGGGATCCTGCTTGTCCACCCCTGGCACCCAGAAGTTGTCACGCCACCACGCCCACGTCACCCTCCGCCACACCTCGTTCGCCCTCCGAACCCGCCTCTCCTCCTCTCCCTCGTCCCCGCTCTCGCACTCCTCCTCCACCAGGGCGCCTCCTGACCCGCGCACGGCCGCGTCTGCCCCTCCTTGGCTCCCCATTCCTCTCTCTGGGCATCCTGACCTGCGTTCCGCGTCGTCTGTCCCTCCGAAATTCCCGATTCCGCTCCCCGCAGCTGCTGAACACCCCAATGCCTCGCGAGACATGCACATGGAAAGCGAGTACACGCCATGAACCTCCCCATCTGAAGCACTAACTCCATCCCTCCTCGCACGGCCTCTGCCAAATGACCTCGTCCCTCCTTCCCTTCGCCGTTGCCTTGTCCCTCGGTCCCGTACAAGACCTCGCTCGTCAACCCTCTGTCTGTCAACCCTCCGTCCTCCTACCCTCTGTCCGTCAACCCTCTGTTCGCCAATCCGCCATCGCCAGGCTTTCAACCAACGCTTCATTCCCGCACAACTCTTCCCCCTCCCCGTCCTACCCCTCTCCCTCCCTCGCTCCATCCTCACTCCACGGCTCGTGCCTGTCTCAGTCTCCCTCCTCCTCTCCCTCGTCCTCTCCCTCCCTTGATCCATTCTCGCTCCACTGCTCGTGCCTGTCTCATCCTCTCTTCGCCGCTTCCTTACGGTTTCGCGAACAGTCTCCCCAGCCGGCTCACTACCCACGTTGCCCGCGCCGTCCAGTCGACCAGCGGATTCCGCATGTGAATCCTCGCGAGTAGCAGCCGCATGGAACGCAGGCGGAGAATCAAATCCCGAGAGACGGGCCTCACTAGGAGCACGAAATCCGCTAGGTTCAGCGTGGCGTGCTAATAGCGGTGGGTCGTCCTCTGATGAAGCTCGGTTGCCGAGGTGGCAATCGGCTGCTGACAAATTTCGCCCGCTCGCGAAATCGTCGACTTGTAACGTATTTCGTTCAGCTACGCCGTCGACTCCCTGCGATTCAAATAAGCGTTCACATTTGACCGCCTGATCCGACGGCCTCGCACTGAACGCCGCAGACCCGTGAGGACCTGCGGATTGAAAGGCGTGCGACGGATTCGCATCAAATCTGTCGCCAACATCGTCGATGCGATCGTCCATGCCGTCGTTAATGTCGTCGCCAATGTCGCCAATGTCGTCATCGTCGTCATCGTCGTCTATAATGATGGGGTCCTCCTCTCTTGCGCCACTAGCCACGATGCTACCGCCCTCCATCGCTCCTCACCGCCTCACCCGCGACTACTTGAAAGAAATAAAGAATGAGCTTGCTTGACGTCTCGTCTCGGATTTCTTCAACCTCAACCAAGAAGACTACACACGAAACGCACCGTATCGCACCGCGCCGCACATTCAGCCTCCGTCACTGACCTGGAACGTCGGTCGGTCGACACTCACGGTTCCGCTCAGATCTGACACCTATTACCCGAGAACATCGGCGATAGGTGAAGCATCACGAAGTGCATGGAACTGCAAGTAACGACGGAAAGAGCGTTTATAATCTGACTCGTCAAGCTGACTAGACTCGCGCACGGGGACGAGAAGCGGGTCGAGGTTAGGAGATAGTACGAACTCGACATGAGTACCGCAGGCATGCTTACCTGACAACTAACAGGAATGAGTTATATGAACATGGATATCTAAAGCAAAGTCATGAATCACGACACGGCTAGCGCGGCGGATGTGTAGTCGCTCGTCGCAGCTCCCTAGGCACCACCATGACTCGAATGCTCGCTAACATAAAAAGACACTCACGCGCAACAATCTAGGAGGAATGAATGGTGCTTTTGCCATGCCAACTGACCAAGTCCCTTGGGATTCGGGTTCGGGGATTCAGGGATGGCTGCGCCTGGCGTCAGTCTCAAGCACTTGGCGCGGTATAAGACGCGGCGGCGAGAGGAGATGTTCGGATTGTACACGAGCAGATCGCTTGTGCTAAGCATTCTATCAAACAATCATTAATAAACGCATAGCCGCTTGACAATGCTCTCCGCCGGTCGTCAACGGCGAGGTGGGCGCTCGCGGCATGGAAAGCAGTCCCGGAGAGCTGGAAAAATAAACTACTTACAAGGGTGTCAGCGGCAGAAATCGCAGAGACCACTACCTTGGTTAGCGTGGGAAAGCCGACGGGAGGATGCCAGAACTTCCTACAAGTGGTGCTGGCGGAAAATGAGGAGTTGAAGTGTGAAAGAGTGAAAGTGGACTGCAAAGGCAAAATCATGCAGTTGGGGATAACGGCGCAGCCACCGGCACGACTAAGTGTACTATCACCGATGGTGGCGAGAGGAGGCTATATGCTGGGACAAGCTGGTGACCCTGTGACGCGCTTGCGTGTCTCGTTCCTATGTGAGGAAGGCAAGCCAGCAGCTCAAAGGAAGTTAAGGCACCTGCTCAGGAAACCAACGGTGCAACCCAAGCAGCAGAGAAAGTGGGAGGAGCACTGGGGAGGAAAGATCGATTGGAAGAAGGTCATTGCCAAGAGGGACTCTCTGGCAATCCCCGCCAAAGCAAGAGAGGTACTGCTGAGGCTGCACAGCCACAACCTGCAAGTGGGCACTCGGCTTGCCTTCTTTGGCTCCCGTGCATGCTGTCCATATTGCAAACAGGAGGAATCATCGACTCACTGCTTGATGAGCTGTCCGACTGTCAATGGGGTTTGTGGCGCGCTTCAGGACTCACTCCGTCTGATGAACCCAGCAAGGGCGGTGGGGACACTGGGAGAGCTGATATTCGCTGCGGACAGCACGACAACAGGTTTCCCGGAGTCCACACTTATCGCGATCACGTTCAGACACATCTGGCTAGAGAGGTGTAACGCGGTCTTCCGGAAAGAAAGTTTCGAGCCCAAAAGAGTGGTCAGAAAAATAGGGGCAAATTTCAGGAGGCATGTCAGGATCTACAGTGAAGGGGGTGGGGGTAAAGGGGCACATCGGGGGAGTGGAGGTGGAGGAGGATGGCATCATCTGACAGCTGGAGAGGCGGCAGCACTGGGCCGTATATGTGAACAGAACGAGCAACTGTCGTGGAACAGGGCCTTCAGCTCAATCTGGGAAAGCCCTAGAACCTTCTTCAAACCGCCGTAAATGGCTGTTAGGAAGTACAGTGCTAGCCTCAGCAGGATGGCCTGTGGCTTCCTTACTCACAGTTACGACTGTGGATGTAATGCATTGCATAGTGTATTATGTCCAAAAAAAAAAAAAAAAAAAACAATGCTCTCCGCCTTCTCCGCCATCAGGCGGCCATGGATTCTGCCGAGTCAATCACGGTTAACATCCTCGTTTGCGTGCCTTACATTACCATCTGTCGGGATTAAGTGTACCGTCTTTAACATTCGGCTTGGATTACCAGTCATTATTGCTGACATTGGTTACTCCAGTTACAAGGCGGATTCCTGCGGATATCGTCAGGCTCTCTCGGGACTCCCGGTTATTCATGACTCGCGTCATCATCGTTTTATTAACAATGACCATACTTTTTACGAGACATCAAGCAAGTACTATTCGATTATCAACACGGAAGTTCTCAAGGTTGCTACCTCGAGATCACATCACTTACTGCTGGAGCTACTGGAGCCGGACAAGTTCAAGGAACTATTTAAAGTGCCTGTGCTCAGACTTCAGGCATCAAGTGCATTCTTCGAGGGTGCTCGGCACGCTCTCCTGCAGCCTGGTTTCACTCATCATCACACAATGTCTCACCCAGCTGATGCCCTGAACCTGCCTAAGGGTCAGCGCTCACGCCCGGTCACTGCTCTGCCAGCTTCAACGGAGGCTGATAGCTCCATTGTTGACAAGTCTCCTGCAGTCAATGACAAAGACAAGCCGGTTTTGTCAGAGGCTGGTGGTTCTGGTTTATCGGCTGAAGATAAGGTTGGCATACCTTCCTTGGGAGTTACTGATGATGACGGCTTCATTGACGATGACTCTGATGATGAAATGGTCATCGACTTGGTTAAAGAGGCGGACTTCGGTTTGCGTTCAGTTGCAATCCTTCTGATCCCTTTCATGCTGAACAAGGAGATTTCCTGCATCATTGACGCTGTCAAGGCACTAATAACGCACGGATGGTATACAGAATTATCAAGTGACGCGGCGATCACGACGAAGTTCCAGCAGATTCAGACAACTTATATCGCCAAGACTCGCTTTTGTCGCCTGCAAGTATCGTTTAAGAAGGAGTCTGATGCGGAATGGGTGCGGAAGAAGGAGGTAATTTATCAGCCTCTCGCGAACAAGGGTCAACTCATCACTCTTCATTGGCAACATACTGAGGACTCGGCCTTTGTGCGTGAGAAGGCCTTGAATCCGCACGCCATCGAGTTCATGATTACGGGTGTCTCTGCTGCTGTTGAGCTGGTCCACATTCACGATCGCCTGGCGACCTACCTGCTCACCAGCACTAAGCGTTCGGCTTTCCTGCGCTGCACTTGCCTGCATCGGGTGCTCCATCCTGTCACTGGTGCTGACACGGACGTTGTAAAGGGGTTGGTTTATGCTCACCCTGAGAACCTGAACCGCCGCTGGATTCACATGATCGCTGATCCTGCTGACCGGGCGAAGAAGCTGCTCGTCCACTACCTGACTTTATCCTGCTCGCTCTGTGGCGGAAAGCACTATGATAAGTATCATGATGCTTTTGTCACTGAGCGTCAGAATAATGTTAGTAAATGGAAACTGACCCTTGGCAGTGTGCACAGACTCAACGGTAACAGCAGTACTTCTTTCCTCGCTCGTTTTCTGATTCGGCAATCTCCTTCATGCACTAACCTTTTCCTGGATCCTCGCAGCCGCGTCGCTGAAAGCGTCTTCGATTTTTCTCCCTATCCTCCGCGATCCGGCTATCGCTCTCGTCTCTACCAGCAGCAGCAGGGAAGACTGGATCTGCACGCAAGTGGGTTGTGGAAAGGCAAAAGGAAAGAGTCTCATGGCGGCTGTCCAGCACATCACCGCTGCTGCTCACCTGCTGGAGCTGAAGAAGGCAGGCTCAGCCACGAAGGCGTCACTCGACAAGCTGAACCTCGATGTCGTTCGCAAGGAGTACGGACTGTGACAGTTTCCGCGCGTTATCTTGATGCAGCAGCACGATGGGGCCTAGGAGTTAGTGTTGTCTGTACCGTCTCGTTTCTCAGCCTGTGGATGAACAGGGGCTGCAAGGCAGTGATCCCATGATTATTGAAAACCATCTCACCATCGCGAGCCTGAACGTCAACGGCTTAGGAACAAACAGAAACAAACAGGAGAGGGTTATCAAGTGGATGAAGAAATCAGCCGACATTGCAGTACTAATAGATACTAGGATAGACAACAGTCATTCATTCTGGACTGGACTCAGTGAGTACACATTATTGGCTAATCCTCCTAGAGCCAGTGCTGGTGGGGTAGCCGTCCTCTGTAGTGACGATGACATTACGTTTCATGACATAGACCTTCATCCTTCGGGTAGAATAGTAAAGACATTAGTTAAAGGCTCTGGACTAGACTTCACGCTGGTAGCTGTTTACCTCCCTCCGCACATCACGCCTAGGACCGCTTTTATTAAAGACACGCTTGGACCGGTCGTAGACGCTGTTCCATCCTCTTCTCACCTCCTTATCATCGGCGACCTGAATCTGACGGATGACCCGAAGCTGGACAGATCCTCAGGCTCAGGCTCGTCGGCTGAAAATGAGAAGCTCTTGCTACGCTGTACCAGCTTCCAGCTATCCGACGCGTTCCGCACCCTGCATCCAAGAGACAGGGAATACACATTTTATGCGCACTCGCACCGCTGCAGTACTCGCATTGATCGCGCACTCATCTCGCAATCCTTACTAACTCACCTTTCTATTGCCAGACATGACATGCCGGAGGAGCCTATTTCAGATCATGGCTTCGCGATCCAGGTTGCTTTCCGCCTGGATGAGAAAATCTGCACAGGGCCGGGTATTTGGAGGCTGCACGCCTCGATGGTTCAGAGGCCGGGGGTACGGAGGATTATTGAGGCTACGGTTCGGAGAACTCGGGTGAATGATGGTTGCAGCTTCGAGCTCCTGATTGCTCGCCTGGGAGAGGAAAGCAAACGAGTTAAGAAGACTCTGTCCCACTTGGTTAGCAGGGTCGCGCTGCTGAAACAAGAGCTGATGCGGAATCCAAACTGTGATGCTACGCGGGACGTGCTGGCAGCTAAGGAGCTGCAGCTGAAAGCGTACCAGGAAGCACGGAGAGAGAGGCTGCACCTGCAGGCCGGGATGAAGGAGGAGCTGACCGGGGAAATCGCCTCGAATCACCTGTCTGCAAAAGTTCGGGCAAGGAAAGCTCGCACTCGAATCAAGGAGTTGAAGGAAGGAGGGAGCGTGGTGACCGGAGCAAAACATATCCTCGGCGCTGCGTCGGCTTTCTTCAATAACATTTTTGGCAAGGATCGTCGCACGGATTTCTCGAACTGGGTGTTCAACCCGGGTCGACGCCTGGGGAAAGAGGCGGAAGAGATGTTAATGGCGGATTGGACAGAGCAGGAAGTTAAAGCGGCGTTTACGACAATGGCGAGGAACAAGTCACCGGGGGGAGATGGCCTTCCAAAGGAGTTGTTCGAGTGTCACTGGGATCTGTTGGGGGGGAGTTTTATGGCGCTGGTGAAGGATTTTGAGCAGTCAGCCTCGCTCCCGGAAGAACTTAAGGAAGCTGTCACGATTCTGTTACACAAGAAGGGAGATCGGGATCAGCTGAACAACTACAGACCCATCACCCTTCTTAACTTCACATATAAGGTGTTGGCAAAGGTCATGGCGGACCGGATGAAGCGGGTGCTGCACGAGGTTATCTCACCGGAGCAGTATGGGTTTATCCCGGGGAGGCGGTTGTCTGACGCGGTTGCGCTGGTTGCAGACGTCATCGATGTGGCAAAAAACGAGAAGGCGGACTGGTACATGCTGCTGGTTGATTTCCAGAAAGCCTTCGACTCGGTGTCGAGGGATTTTCTCTTCCAGGTGCTTCGGAAAATGGGCTTCCCGGAGCGGTTCGTTGGCTGGATTGAGGGCCTGCACGAGAACACCACAACAAAGTTATTGGTTAACGGCTGGCTCGGTGAGGGACTGAATGTGGTCTCGGGGGTGCGGCAGGGCTGCCCGCTTGCTCCCTACCTTTTCCTGTGCGCTGTGGAGCCGTTGGCTCAGGAAGTGGAGAGGGAGAAGCTGGGGCTCGACAAGGACGGGCAGCAGCTGATTTACCTCGGTTATGCGGATGACACAACACTCATTCTGCAAGGGAAGGAGCAGATTGTTAAGGCGGAGAAAATTTTGGACAGCTTTGAAAGGGCGGCTGGATTGGCAACGAACAAAGGAAAATCGGTGGTGCTACCTCTGGGGGTAAATATTGGTGCGGTGGCGGACGGCTCGTCCGACTTCAAGTGGGCAGGTGCAGATGACGCTGAACGTCTGCTGGGGGTATGGGTATCTCCTTCGGGGGATGGACAAAAGACATGGGAGAAAGCGCTTGGGCGTGTCGCTGAGAAGCTGGTGAAATGGAAGCAGAAATATTTGACGACGGCGGCACGTGCGTCGGTGGTAAATTTCTACATCACCCCGTTAATCGCCTTCCAGGCTCAAGTCTTCCCGCCACCTGCAGACATTTGGGAGGACTTGGTGCGCATGCTACACGGTTTCTTATCCGGGAACAGGGTGTCAGCAGCAAAAGGTTTTTTCCTATGGAGCAAGGTGCTGCTGTACACAACGAGAGAAGCAGGCGGAATTGGAGTAAGGGACCCGGAGATTGTTATCACCTGTCTGGCGGCGAGAAGGGCGGGGTTGTTCATCACGGAGACTAACTGCCTTAAGAAGGACCTGATGGAGCGGGCGGCGAAGCTCCCTCTGGGTGTCGACTCGTTCGGATCTCACGAAAAGTTATTCAAGCACTGGGAAGGTGGCAGTATTCGATGGAAACAGACGTGTGAAAGCCTCTCTGGCTCGCCGCTGTGTTTGCGCGACCTGGCTACGACGAGGGAAGAGATCCTGCAGGAGCGGATTGTTTTTAACAAAAATATACTGCTGCGCGGCACTACACCGATTGGGGGGCAAAAGGACGCCAGGAAGCTGTGGGACCTGCGCCTAGGGGACCTGTTCATGCGGGATGAGGCTGGGGAGTTGTTGCAGAAGTCTGTAACGGAGCTAACGGATCAATTGGGTAGCAGCGGCCCTGCGAAGCTGGCACTGAAAGCTGTGGGATCGCTCCCTGCAAAATGGTATAGAGAGCTGGGGTTTCCGACCGTGCTCCTTCGCTCGGCTGACTCTCCTCAGCAGCTGCTAATTCTGGAAGAGGGGCGCATCATCCCCATGAAGCGGATGAAGGAGGGCTGGGTGGAGGCCCGGAAGGAGTCTTACAAGCGCGGAAAGTGGGCGGCACGATGGGGTGGGGTCATCAACTGGAAACGGATTGTGGACACACGAGATTCTCTGGCGGTTCCTAGCCGTCCACGTGATGTGCTTACCCGAATCCACGGTCTAAATCTGCAGGTGGGGGAAAGACTGGCTTTCCTCAGTAGTAAGCCGGTGTGCCCGTACTGTGGGGAAACCGAGACACTGGAGCACTGCCTGGTTCTCTGCCCCAGGATCCAGGTGGTTTCCGCAGCTCTCCGGCGCGCTCTGGGCATGCTGAATCCTGGTCGCACGACGGACTCGCTGGGTGACCTTTTGTTTCAGAGGGCAGGAACCAGCTCAGCATTTCCGGAGCTGACGTTAACATCAATCGCATTGCACCAGTTGTGGCTCGAGCGGTGCGAAGCTGTCTTCAGGGGGCAGAAATTTCGGATGCAGCGGGTTCTGAGACGGATCGAGGTAGCTTTCCGGCAGCATGTGAGACTGTACATCCATAAGTTCGGGCCAACGCGGCGAAAGCAGAAGCAGCGAGACTCATCGGAGGAATGGAACATGCTTGGAAAGATCAGGATGGATGGCAAAGGTCTGAAGTGGACAAGCAGTTTTGCAGCGTTATGGTCGGCACAGAGGGCCAGGAACACTCGGCCCTAGGAATCTTATCTGGAGCAAGAGGTCCCCTCTAGTTCCTCACGCACGGTTACGACCGTTCTTGTTAGTATATACTTGTACACTCGGTGTATACTTTCAATTATCATAAAAAAAAAAGTAATAAACGCATAGAGCTTAGTGACCATGAATTGGTAGAGAGGAGGTTGGCATAATTCTAAATGGGCAAAATTCACTATACAGGATTTTCCTAAGAAGAATATCTGGCATACGAGCACAAAGCTGAAGGATACAGGTATTAACGCCTCGCCGTCCCTCATGCATCAACCATAGCCTCCGCCTCCTCCTTACCCTCCTCCTTCAGAGGGTAGTACTTGTAGTGTAGCTCTGTTACATCGTCACCCGACACCTTCGTCCAGCCTTCGGGACCTACATGGTACACTGTTATTAGAATAAGATACAATACACACAGGAGCATATGAGCAATCAGTGGCACGGGGAGAGGGAAGAGAGAGGGTGGGCGGACGGGGAGGGTGAAGGAACTTCGGCTACAGTGCAGGAAAAAAAGAACCCACACAGCCACCACTTCCTGCAATGCATTCCTAATGTATAAAACAACGCCCACAAGAGGCAACGCCTGGAGTAGCAGAGTATTCTCCCTCAGTGAGCACATGCCTGATGCGGTGCCACCACTAGCAGAGTCACGAAAGGTGGCATGGTAGATGGACCTTCGCCCCAGCTCCTCCGCCTCCTCCACTGACATGTCCCACCGGTACCTGCCATGCCATGTGCCATGCCATGCCATGCCATGCCATGCCATGCCATGCCACAGATCCCCATGTTCACGTGCCACGCCATGACGAGGCACGACCGACACACAAATCCAGATTCCCACGTAGTAAGTCAAGCATAGAACCAATTTCCATGGCATGACCTTCCTTCGACGGCCCTGCTCTCCCTCCCACCCCCACCTCCCACCCATGCTCCTCCACACTCTTCATTCCTACCCTCTCTTTCTTCCTTAACACCCCTTCCTCCCTCCCCCCTCCCCTCCTCCCCGCCTCACCCTGCGTCCAGCACGCCATAGGCATAAGTGGAGCCGGACCCCACTGAGAATCGCCGGCCCTCCAAGTGACTTCTGTGCCAACTCACATGTCACCCTTCCCCCCCCTTCCCCCTCCCCTCCCCCTCCCTCCCTGCTCACCCTGCGTCCAGCACGCCATAGGCATAAGTGGAGCCAGACCCCACTGAGAACCGCCGGCCCTCGTAGCGCGACCCCTCACTGTCCACGTAGAACAGCTTTGGGCCCTGGCAGCAGAGCACAGCACAGAAGCACAGCAACAGAACAGTGTGGCAGCATGTGAGCACAGAGCATGGTGCATGGCAGCATGGTAGCACAGAGATATTGTTAGAAATTAGCACTCCGGCAAAAGAAACGAAGCACAAAACGCACGTTTGCTGATCAACTAGGCCATCAACTCACCAGGTTTGACGTTGTTTCCTGTTACTTCACATACGACCTGATAATCGCTTCATGCCAGCCGCCAATCCCACTGACCATCTCATCCAAGCCATTGATCCCACTGACTGCCTCATCAAAGCCGTTCATCTTACTGACCGTCTCATCCCAGCCGTCGATCGCACTGACCGCCTCACAGCAGCCGTCGATTCCACCAAACTCTCATCCCAGCCGTAGATCCCACTGACCTTTTCATCCCAGCCGTTGATCTCACCGTTTCATCCCAGCCGGCGACCATGGTGCCGATGGAGAGCCCCATGCCGCGGTACGAGAAGAGCGTGTTGGCCAGCAGCTTCGACGCCCCCGCCACACTGATGCGCCTCCCGTTCTCCAACTCGTGCAGCCGACACTGCCGCCATTGCAGGTTGAGGGCGGGGATTGGTGGGGGAAGGAAGGATGGGGTGTTTATGTCTCAAGAAACGCCGTCCGTTCTCCAGCTCATGCAGCCGGCACTGCCACACCCCATCCGTATCTTCCAACTCACCAAATCTGCCTCCCCCAGTTGCACCCGACTGCCCCCCATTAACCTTTTTTCCCAGGTTGCGCTGCCAGGGACACCGGTCAAACTTGTATCTGCCTGCCCCAGATGCATACACCTGCCCTGCGACCCCCACCCACGCACCTGCTTGCCCAGGTTGCGCTGCCAGAACTGGCAATCCGCTGCGCCGCCCGCCATGGTGCCCAGCAGGTACTTGTTGATCTCGATCACCTTCTTCACCGTCTGTGAGGCTGCTCGCAGGGAGGAGGAGGTAAACATGGGGAGAGAAGGGGTGTGGAGGGGGTAAGGGGACGGAGGTAAGACGCACATGGTGCCCAGCAGGTACTTGTTGACGCTGCTCGCAGGGAGGTTTATATTCAGGTAGGGTGCAAACGGAAACGGAGACAGAGACGTAGGGATGTGACAACGTGATGGTGAGGACGCGGAGGCAACAATTTTTCCAGCAGGTACGGGTTGATTTCAATCACCTTCTTCACCGTCTGTGAGGCTGCACGGGGCGAGGTGGCAAACACGGGGAGAGAAGGGGTGTGGAGGGGGTAAGGGGACGGAGGTAAGAGGCACATGGTGCCCAGCAGGTACTTGTTGATCTCAATCACCTTCTTCACCGTCTGTGAGGCTGCACGGGGCGAGGAGGGAAGCATGGCGAGAGAAGGGGTGTGGAGGGACGTGGGAAGAGGTAAGGATAAAGAGGCAACACATTTCTGAGCAGGTACGGGTTGATTACAATTGCCTTCTTCACCGTCTGTGAGGCTGTACGCAGCGAGGAGGCAAGCACGGGGAGAGAAACAAACACGGGGAGCAATATTTAAGCGGCGGATTGAAGGGAATGGCGCAGAGGGGCAGACAGAGGAGAGACAGACGACGGGTGGCCAGATCCCCGATATAGGCGCGCACCGATATAAGTGCCCATGGTGGCGCGCGAGTCGACGGCGATGATGACGCCGTGCTGGAAGACGAATCCGAGCGTGGTGGTGCCGTGCTGGGGCTTCACCATCTCCATCGCCGCGTTCTGGAAGCCGTCCAACTGCAGGGAGAGGGAACGGGGAGGGCGCGCGGAGGGAGCGGGGGAGCGCGAGGTGCGGAGAGGGTGAGGGAGGTGCGGGAAGAGAGAGAGAGAGGAGCGGGGAGGAAGCGATTTTTAGGCGCCTGAATCGGCTCACATCCTTCACTGCAGGCAGCGGGAACGACGGCGCGGCGAATCCGATATCTGCGTCGTCGAAACGGCCGGGTTGAAGCGACGGCGGATCCACGAGGCTCATGTCGACCCGCATGCTGGCGAGCGGAAATTCGACGGAAGCGCTAGATGATCGTTGGTAGCGAAAGGTGATTAGGACACGACAACTATTGGACCCGTCGAGATTGGGATGGGAAACTACTGAACGAATGCACTAGGAATGAGGGAAACAAGTCCAATGGCATCTGCGTTGCGGAGTGTCGCGCTATCGTTAGTTCATACGAATCGTTCGAGTGCTGTTCAAATTAATGTTTATATATATTATCCATTCGTACAACCTGTTGCGTAGTTATCTTAACAAGGTAACGTTTGTATGAGGATTGATGTAAGTGTTCTGCGTCTGTTCGTACCCGCTATGAAAATCATGCAGCACTCGGTGTGCTTCTGAGAAACACCACCTCGCAGTAGTCACAGCACTCAGCACCGCATAAGCCATTCTCGAAACCGAGTCGCCCTAGAGTTCCCCCCAACACAATGCGGCTGCTGCGCCGTCGTGACAACAGAGTGTGCGGGGACGCACGAATCGCGTGACAGGACTGCGATTGGGGGGACAGGGGCTCGGGGCGGGCGGAAAGTCCCAATTCGTCAGTCGGGGGGAGCCTGTTTGTCAGTGGGAGAGGCGCAGGAATGCGGCTCGTCGGTGGAGGGATTTCTGGCGGAAAGAAATGTCGGAAATGTGTGCCTGCACTGCCAACATTCGCGTGGGAACATCGGCTTCAAGGCTATTCATGGTGGTTTTTTTTTTTTTTTTGGGCTTTAAGGAGGAACGCTATTCATGGTGGTGGTGTGGGATGGCATGGCATAGCTCAAACTCCGTAGCTCTCTTCTCAAGGGAGACAAATCTTCGGCTGAAACGGAAAGTAAATGATTGCGATTCACGGCTGCATGCCTTGAAGCCATCCGCCAGAGATATATTGCATCGAACTTTTCTGCTTGAACGATCATTCAGGGAACTCGAGTATAGAAAGCGACCTCACAATCGTGTAAGACGGACCTGGTCAGCTAATATAATACATTCCCGAACATCTATACTCATCAGATCGGTACCTCGTTCACTACAGCAGCGCAGTCGCTGCAATGGGCGACCCACTTCTAAGTAGAGTCCTACAAGCGTGCTGTTTACTGCTCGCCGTCTTTCAAGCAGTCCACGCTGCTCAACGCGATTCACCGCTCTCAACCGACAATGGCGCCAACGTGACTCGTCGCATGGCCCTGGTGGGTCGACTACCTCGTTCGGCAGCTCCCCTAGCCGCGCCTCTCGGCTCGGGCTTCTGGTCCGTCAAGGGCAACCAGTTCGTCGACGCGTACGGCCGCGTGGTACGCCCTCCCTGCCTCCCTGCCTCCCTGCCTCCCTGCCTTCCTTCCTTACTGCCTTCCTGCCTCTCTGCCTTACCGACTCCATGCCTCTCTCTGCCTTACTAACCTTCTCCCCGCAATCCACACGCACCGGTTTATATTTCTCAGTTTCCTCCGCTTTCCCTTTTTTTCGGTCTCTGGTTTATCGTTTTCTCGGTTTCCCTCGTTTCCTCCCGTCGCTTCCTCCCGTCGCATCTAACCCCCTTTTTCCGCGTCTTCCCCCGCGTTTCCTCTTCCGCAGGTGCGCTTCTCGGGGCTGATGTGGTCGGGGTTCGAGTCGGACGTGGCGGTGGTGCAGGGGCTGTGGGCGCGCAGCTACCAGTCGCACCTCGACCAGATGCGCCAGCTCGGCTTTAACGCCATCCGCCTGCCCTTCGCGGGAGACGCGCTCGAGCCCAGCTGCTCCCCCAAGAGCATCGACTACGGCAAGAACCCCGATCTGCAGGGCCTCAACTCGCTTCAAGTCATGGATAAGATCATTGCCGCGGCGGGCAAGCGAGGCATGAAGGTTATCTTGGATTACCATCAACACCACCTGCTGCTGAATCTTCCCACGGAGGGCCTGTGGTATGACCCCACCACGCCCCCGAGGAAGTGGCTGCAGCGATGGATCATGCTCGCGAAACGGTACCGTGGTAACCCGACGGTCATCGGCGCGGATCTGCTGAACGAGCCGCACTTCAACGGGAACACCGCGCCGTTCCCCTCGCCGTACTGGGACGTGGAGGGCAAATACGAGAATCCTCCGCTCAACTTCCGCACCGCCACCAAAATGTGAGCCTACCGCGATTCCCACTCCACAAAAAACATATTCTCTCGCACTGTCAAGTTCATGGTGTTTGTGGATTCGATGCTTCTGCAAGCACGGAGCTTGACCCGTTCTTTGCTCATTGCTCTCATTTTCCGCTCTCACCGTGCGTGTAGTGTGGCGGCGGCGATTCAGCGCGCGAACCCGGACTGGATCATCTTCCTGGAGGGCATGCACAACGACTACTGGTGGGGCGGCAACTGCCGCGTGCTCATGAAGGCGCCGCTAAAGCTCACCGTGCCCAATAAGCTTGCATACACCGCTCACGAGTACGGCCCCTTCGTCTACTTTCAAAAGTTTTTCAACAAGACCGTCACGCCGAGTTTTCCGAAGAACCTGCCCGGGTTGTACAACCATCATTGGGGCTTTATTCAAAAGAAGGGGTACGCGCCGGTGTGGGTGGGTGAGTTCGGGTCGAAGCTGCCGCCTCCGGATTCGGAGCTGAACCGAGTGGAACGGACGGTGTTCTTCACGCTGATCAAGTACATGAAGGCGCTCAAGGTGTCGTGGACGTTCGCGTTCTGGGGCCCGCTTAGCAAGGACACTGGAGGGATTCTTAACGACGACTGGTACACTGTGAGGCAAGACAAGCTAGATGCCCTCAAGCCTATCATGTATCCTAATTTTGCGTAGGAGTTGCTGAACTGCTGGAGACCACAGATGGGGAGTGGGTTCTGCAGTGGCTTCTGGATTGGTGTGCTGATGGTAATGGTCATTGGACCTAGACACCACTTTTCAGGCGTTATCCTTCTGTTCCCCTAAGAAGGGCTCCGATGTTTAGTTTTTTACTTGTCCAATAGAGAAAATCTAACTAAATCATTTGTTGATATGTATTGGGTAATGGCTCTACATAAACATCTTAGTGGAGAAATGCATAGCATTCTGTAATGAAGCTACATCGCTCGCAGTGTATATCCAGACAGAAGGCTGGCTCGGTCCCTATATGCATTGAATACGTTTCGTCTTGTGTGTTCCATCAGTTGAATACTGACAACGTTCAGCCTTGATTCTTGTACAGTTACCTACAGCCCGATTTTTCATGTCCCGAGCAAGAGGCCGTGGGATACCGCTCGCTACTGTCACATAACCAGGGCCCCGCTCAATCACCCAAACAAACCTCCACCACACGCAGACCACACCACACACACCACCACCACAACCACACCACATACCCTCCTCCTCCTGACTCTCGCTCTCGCTCCATTGTGCCTGTGTGAGAGCCATCTCTCACATCCATTTCGTAACAGGCTCGCCACCACATTGGCTGCGTTCTGCAGGCGCATCAGCCCGCATCAATGTACATTGATGCGTTCTACCATGGTTCCAGGAATTTTCCAAGATAACCTGCCGACAGGTTATCAAGGTTCGCGATAAGCGCATGGCTGCCGAAGCAAAACAAACCCGAATGCCTGCAGAACGGCCTTTTTGGCTTACGAAATTTGTAATGTGTCCGCTTTCCAAGAAGCTTCCTCTCCTAGCAAGCTGGCGCATCATTGATGCGCGCATCATGCGACTTCGAAAACTCGGATCATGCGCGCATCAGCTGATGCGCTGCAACCTCATTGGCCAATCAGTTTGGCCAAACCGAAATTCAGCGCCGAAAAAGCTTCCAAGAAACCAATAACATTCGCAATTTTTTAATTCGTCAAGAAATTGAATGTCCATTTTCCTGACCTCAATTCAATTTCGTCAGATTTTCCAAACCTCAATTTCAAATGTCCGAACCTCAATTTCTCAATTTCCAATTTGCAATTTCTGAACCTCAATTTCTCAATGTACGGATCAGGCCGAGCCTCAGACGCATCAGAGCTGATGCGCCTGCAGAACGCAGCCATTCTTCTGTTCCCTCCCACCCCCAGCAACCATTTTGTCAGGACGCGGCACATTTGATTGATTGGCCTGAAATATAAATGCAACACATTATTTATCACACTCAATGGCTTTGTTCTGCAGGCGCATCAGCCCGGATGGCTACAGTAAAACATGGTTCCCGGATTCTACCTTGATAACCTGTCACAGGTTATCGAGGCTCGCGATAAGCGCACGGCTGCCGAAGCAAAAGAATCCCGAATGCCTGCAGAACAGCCTTTTTGGCCCTCGAAATTTGAAATGTGATCGCTATCCAAGAAGGTTCCTTTCCTATCAATCTGACGCTTCACCGATGCGCGCATCATGCAACCTCTCGAGGTCGCATGATGCGCGCATAAGCTGGTGCGGAGCACCCTCATTGGTCAATCTGTTTTTTCCTAAACCCTCATTCGTTGGCACCCTTGAAAATTTTGCGCTGTAACTTCCTAGAAACATGTAACATTTTGGCAGTCGAAATTGAATGTTAGGAAATTGAATGTCTCAATTCCGAACCTCAATGTCATTCAATGTCTCAATGTCCGCATCAGGCCGAGCCTCTGGCGCATCAGGCTGATGCGCCTGCAGAACACGGCCAATGGTTAAAAAATGTTATGTTGCGGTATTGGGATTCATAGCGCGGTGAAGTACGTTACGTTGCGGCCCTCACTGCTCTATCCTTCCCTGCCACGCCCGTCTCTCCAGCTCCCTAACACTGTGTGACTGACCTGTGCGCAAATTTTCATTTTTTTTGTGTGGTGGAGAGGAGAGAAGAGCAACGACAGGGCACTCTCCTGCTCACCCTCACAGAATCCGCTGCTTGTTTTGGAGTTCGGCCACTCAGGTTCGTTGGGACGGTTGCAAGGAGCTCCTAGAGCTGACAGCATGTCCCAGCTTACCCTTCGTGTCATTTTCCGAGGGAAGTAAATATCTTTCTACGAGATTTTGCCATATAGGTTGCGTAAGCGCCTCAGCGCTCATCACCATTGCTCGTTCTCCTCTTTGGGCTAGTCGGCAATAGAAGTTATCACAGCTCCAGTCAGACCTCCGTGACTGAGTGGAATCCTAGCCCAATTTGTCACTCTCTCCGGCAAGATTTGCACAGCCGGTCCGCTCCCTTTCCGTTCCCGTTGCCATCCTTTTAGCCCTAGTTGTCGGCAATGGAGGTTGGCCCTCGAGTTCGAGGCACCCACATGCCGGCGAGCAAGCCCACGCTGCTCCTGGATCTGCGCCTCACCAACGCGACGGACGACATGCAGCCGACGCGCTGCCACAACTCATCGTGGCACGACGCCATGTCCTTGGGCGAGGCGACGCGGAGAGGCGACTCGCTGCGCGCGGACGCGGCGGAGAAGAGTGCTGCGCCGCACAGCGGGGGGTTGACGTTTGACTCGACTTACACGAGAGGAGCTCGCGGGGAAAGCCGGCAAGCGTGGCTGGAGATCGAGGAGGAGTGGAACGAGGAAGACGAGGACGAGGACGGCGAGGATGTGGCGATGCTGGACGTCGACGCGTTTCTCGGGCGACGGTTGACGCGCGAGCCGAGCTTCAGCATCGAGGACGCGGCGCTTTACGGCCTGCCGGGTGAGCATCTCCGCGTGCTCGTTTACGGGTGTTTGAATTGAATTGTCTAAATATAAGGTGCCATTTTGAGTGTGAATGTACTCTGTTTTCTTGCCCCGCGGTTGGACGTTGTTTCTGGCGCTCATCGTCGTAACCGCGACTGTTGTTCCTCCGTCTCACTCCCTCCCCCTTTCCCACCCATGTCTTGTGCGCGTGACTCTTCAGAGGAAGTGGCGACTCCGCGCCCCGCGTCAGCGCGATTCACGGCGAGCGACAGCGAAGCAGCGGCGCTGCGACTCGCGGTGATGGAAGCGGAGGTCAACATAGTCATGGAGACGAACCGCCTCGTGTCCGCCATTAGATGCCAGCTCACCTCCCCCTGCTCCACCATCCCACCCCGCTCCCCCTCCGCCACGGGTACCACCTCCCCCTTTTCCCCTCCCCGAACCCGAACCTCCTGGGATTTCCGCTCCTTCTCCTCCCCTGCCTCCACCCCCTCCTCCGCCTCCGCCTCCGCCCACTCCGCTCTCTCCCCCTGGCGCAGGAAAACCCCCTCAGTGTCCCCCACAGCTGGGTGGGCGTCGCAGGTACCAGAGGAGGAGCCTGTGTTTGGCTCTCCCATGGCTGATCGCGCCATCTCTCGCTCCCTCACTTCCTACTCGCTTCCCCGGCCGCGCTCGTCCCATATCACCCGCTCCCACACCGCATCGTGCGACCGCCTGCCCGCGAATTTCGTGCCTCGCAGTGAATCTAATTGCTCGACGAATTCTAGTGTCGATCGGTCACCGTTTGGTGGTTTCGCTGGTGGTGGTTGCGAGCGGAGCGTGTCGCAAACACGCCTGCCGTCGTTTTCGAATGGTACGGGAGCTCCGGTGAGGAAGATGCTGGGGGCGCTGAGGCGGCAAATGAGCTTGCCCAGTGGCAATTGGCTGCAACACAGGACATCAAGAAGAGAATCTATGGCTAGTCATAAGGATGAGTAGCACAGCAGTATGTTGTTCTGCAACAGCTTGAGGTGTGCAAAGTGAGGTCAGTTGCTGTAAATTCCAAAATATGATAGTGCTTCTGTGGATTTACATTTCCAAGAGATCTGAGCTCACTCAGAAAAGTGAATCTAACTGTACCGCGTATATCGTTACCAGCACACACAGCCTGAGGTGGTAGGAGACGTTGCTCACTACCATCTTTGTCTTGTCTTTTGTGAATGTATCTTACCTCGCCGGCTCGTCGTTGCGATCTTGCGCCTAATTTTCCGGCGCGCGCGGCCTGCTGAGATCCCGGCTGCGCAGAACGGTCGCCGGCCTGCTCGTTGTCAAAAGGAACTGATGTGTGATTTTTGCGCCATCCGCGAACCATGGAGTTAAGGTCGCGAGGCGTTTCGGAGAGGTAGCACAGGGGCGATTTTAGCTTATATAGAGTCTTGTCTTACAGTAGGCATCATAATTAGGAGTTTATTCATTCGTGCGCGACATAGGGCTAAGATTTTCGCGGCGTTTCGGATTACACCGTCGATTTTGTTTCGCTCGTTTCGTTTCCGACACGTTGCCAGGCGAAACAGGTGCCCTAGAGGCATTAACCTAGGAATTTAAAGCCTGCTTCAAAGCTTGAGTAGCGGTGAGAACGACTCGAAGGAGGCGTAGGGGCGAGGCGACCTTGGAGGCGCTCAGAAGTAGTCAAGTGAGGGAGGCGGAGAGAGCAGGAAGAAGGAGGAGGGGCGAAAGCGCGGTCCATCGCGCGTCGTTCGGCGTGCGGCGTGCGGCGTGCGAGGAGGAGGCATGGCTTCTGCGGGGAGCCAGCAGCAGCAGGTACAGCGTGCCCGAGTCGCCGTTATAAGTTTCCACAGGCGATGCAGCACCATGGCGCGCGCCTGTTGCGAAATTACGATCTGCGCGTGTTGCGGGAGGATGCGGCTGTTGCGGAGTAGGAAAGCGCGGGGCTGGAAGCGTGCGCATGGCGTCAACACCGCGGCGGTGCTGCGGAAGAAGCTACGGAGCGGTGCATGTGCTCCCCTACGCGCGCGCACTCCACAGCGCCTCTCACCTCTCTCCTCTGCCGCTCTCGCCCCATCTTTATCTCCCGGCTTTCCGTTTTCCATTAGGCAGGGTTTCTAAGTCACATAGCGACGGGTCGTCTCTCGTCCTCTTTTCACTCTGACCTCCGCTGTTCCCTATCCCCTTGGTAGGTCTTGAATCGCATAGCGGCGGGTTGTGGTAGTTATTGCGTTGACAGTCGACTCTTCTTCTCTCTCCACCTTTATCTCCACGCTTCCCCCCGTTTCTCCTCTCTCCCCCCTTCCCCTCCTCTGCTCACTTCCCCCCCCCCTTCCGGGGCAGGGGTTGAGTCGCATAGCAGCGGGGCGGCTGCACAAGGAGCTGGCGGAGTGGCAGCGCAACCCCCCGCATGGCTTCGTGTACCACCCCAGTGACAACCTGCAGAGGTGCGGTGCAGAGGGGTGGGGAGGTAGGTAGGGGAGGGGGATGGGAGAGTGCAATTAGAGTGACAACCTGCAGAGGTGCGGTGCGCAGGGGCGGGGAAGGGGGGCGAAAGGTGGATGGCGGCCAATGTGACAACCTGGATAGGTGGGTTGTAAGAGGTGGGGTGGTGGTGGTGAGAAGGGGAATGCAATCAGAACGGAGACTGACCGAGTGACAGTGCAACCCCCCCCTATGTACCACCCGAGTGACAACCTGCAGAGGTGCGGTGCAGAGGGGTGGGGAGGTTTTAGGGGAAGGGGGTGGGAGATAGTGACTAACTGCAGAGAGGTCCCCTCTGCTTTCCTTCCCTCTGCTCGTTCTCAACAACCCCCCACTCCCGTCTCCGCCTCTCCCCTCTCCTCCTCTCCCCTTTCCTCATCTCCCCTCTCTCCCTCTCCACTCTCCTCCCCCACTTCCTCTCCATCTCTCCCCCTCCCTTCCGGCGTGCGCACGTGTGGTGCATGTGGGGCAGATGGAGCATAGACGTGCACGGGGCAGCGGGCACGCTGTATGCAGGGGAGGTGTTTCAGCTGCAGGTCGACTTCCCCTCGAACTACCCACTCGAGGCCCCTCAGGTGCTCCTCGCACTGGCCTTCCTTGCTTGCTGCATCCATTGCATTCTTCTCCCCTCCTGCACCCTCTCCTGCACCCTCTCCTGCCCCCTCAGCTTTATTCTCTCCCGCACTGCACCTGTCGTTGTTCCAGCATGCTCGCGCCTTGTCCCTTCTCCTCCTCGCTTCCACCTTGCCGAATCCCACCTCCACATTCCTGATTCTCCTTCTCCTATCTTGAACCAACCCACACCAGCCCACTCCAACCCAACACAAATCAACTGAATTCATCCCAATCCATGGCAACCCGACCCGCAGGTCATATTCTCTCGCAACCCACCAGTGCACCCACACATCTACAGCAACGGCCACATATGCCTTGGTAGGCCGCACGCATGTGCATTGCCATGTTTCATGTCTGACTGTGTTATCGCTCGGTATGTGCCAAACGCCTTGGTTTGGCACATACCCATTCAATCTTACAACCATGCATCACATCCCTACACCATCCCCATCATCTCATCTCACCCCCTCATAGTCACCATCTGCACCTACACCATCCCCATCATCTCGTCTCACCGCCTCCAGCCATTCTGTACGACTCATAGTCACCTGCCGGCCATGTGCCGTCATCCCACCCCACCCTGCCCACATGCCCCGCACCGCACCCCACCGCTGCATCCTGCAGACATCCTGTACGACTCGTGGTCGCCTGCCATGACTGTCAGCGCCGTGTTCATCTCACCCCACCCCACCCCACCCCACCCCACCCACCCCACCCCACCCCACCCCCGCACCTCCCCCCTCTGCAGACATCCTGTACGACTCGTGGTCGCCTGCCATGACTGTCAGCGCAGTGTGTCTCTCCATCCTCTCCATGCTCTCCAGCTGCAAGGAGAAGGTGTGTGCAGTGCAGAGCACCACGCCTCGCCATGCCTCGTGTGTCTCTCCAACCTCTCCATGCTCTCCAGCTGCAGAGTACCATGCCTCCGCGTGCCTCACCATGCCTCTCCATCCTCTCAATGCTCTCCAGCTGCAAGGAGAAGGTGCGCTTCCCTTCTCTCTACACCAAGACAAGGTATGTTATGTGCAGTATGTGCCTCTGTGCCTCTCTGCCCCTCTGCCCCATCTGCCTCTCTGTCCTCTGCTCATCTCTCCGCCCCTCCCTCCATCCAGGTGAGACCGGCAGACAACGATCGGTACAGTCGCCCAAGAACACTTCTGGAAAGTCGTCTCTTGCTCACTGTCCTCCACTCTTCCCCCACACTCCCTCCACACCCCCCTTCCCTGCAGGTGAGGCCAGCAGACAATGATCGCTACGTGCAGCGCAGCGGCCAGTCCCCCAAGAACACGCGCTGGTGGTTCCACGACGACCAGGTGTAGGCAGGCAGGAGGTCTGTGTGTCTGTTTGCAGATGGGGACTGTGACACGATGCGGACTTGTGAAGGCAAGGAGGAGTGTAGCCGGGCAGTCCCCCAAGAACACGCGCTGGTGGTTTCACGACGACCAGGTGTATCAGCATCAGCGCATCAGCATCAGCATCAGCATCAGCATCAGCGCATCAGCATCAGCGCATCAGCATCAGCATCAGCACATGTAGGGTACAGTGAATTCCGTAGGAAAATGCTGGAAAGGGACAAACCAGTACTAGAACGTACGGTAGTATGTCGGTATACGATTTTGATGTACGGTAATGTATCAAACACAAACAGGAATGTCGTATAGTTGTCGTGTGAAGTCGTGATGCTAGTATGTGTCAGAACTACAAGCACGAATGAATGAACTATGAGAGAGTTGGGTACAAATAGAAACCCTAAAGGGGTTGTACCCCATATTGGCTACCCCACTACAGCCTACACATTATAATAGAACAGATATAGTTTGACACACCCCCATAGGCAAAGTGGGGGAGAACAAGGGGTCACAAGACCAGGCAAGAAAAGCAAAGCAAGCTCAGGGTGGATCACAACGTCACCACACACTCCGAGCACAAGCAAAGGGCCGCAAGGCCAGTTAACATGCAGAGGTATATATGCAACAACAACCATACAGTGATCACTACCTAGCAAGAGTAAACATGCAGGTATATATATATAGATCACAGTACAAGCAGAGTCACGAAGTAAGCAAACGAGGAACGTAGGCACCAGGCCTAGAGCAGTGCAGAAGCGCTGATGGTCACCAGTCGGAAGGGCCTTGGTGAACACATCAGCTGTGTTGGCCCGGGTGGCCACGTGAGCGACACGAAGCTGACCACGCTGCTGCAACTCTCGAGCAAGGAAGTAACGCAGAGCGATGTGCTTCGTTCTGTGCTCCAGTCTGTGGTCCTGACACAAGGCAATAGCAGCCTTGTTGTCTACGTACAGAACTGGAGGAGAACGAGGCCTCTCTCCCAAGTCGGTCAGCAGGTAGGTGAGCCAGCGTAACTCCTGTGCAGCCATGGCTGTGGCGTAGATCTCAGCCTCACAACTGGAGCTGAGAACAGACGACGAGCGTGTAGACCGCCAAGAAACAGAACCGGAGCCAAGGCTGAACGTGTAACCCCGTGACGACCGTTGCGTAGCCAGGTCGTCAACCCAAGAAGCGTTTGAGTGTCCAGTGAGGACAACTGAACCCCGCCCTCCAAGCACGAGCCCCATGCCTGATGTGCTGCACAAGTAACGCAGTACACTCTTCGCAGCTTCCCAGTGCACCTTTCGGTGTCTGCCAGGAGCCACGTAGCGTGCCAGAAGGCCAAGAGGGTACGCAAGGTCAGGACGAGTGCAGGTCATCAGGTACATGAGGCAGCCCACAAGCTCTGGATACAGGCCACTCGGCTCTACGGCCTCGTCCGAAGGTGAAGCTGAGAGCGAGTGACCGGTAGCCAGAGGAGTGGAGTGTGGCGAGGACCAAGTGAAGCCGAAGCGCTGAAGGACCTGCTGCACCATGTGTGACTGAGTCAGGGTGATGGTGCGCCGTGCTCTGCCCCGGGTGATCTGCAAGCCAAGGTAGCAGCGCAGCTCACCCATGTCTGTGCACGTGCGTCTCTTCTGCAGCTCCGACTTCACAAGGGCGAGTGCCTCTGTGTCAGCAGTGGCAAAGACCAAGTCGTCGACGTACACGAGGATGTAGAACGGCGGCAGCGAAGTGTCGGTGCGTAGAAACAGCGACGGGTCAGCAGTGGAAGGGGCAAACCCAAGAGCCGCAAGTGTCGTCCTCAGTGTGTCGTGCCACTCACGAGGCGCCTGACGGAGACCGTAGACTGGCCGGCGGAGGCTCCACTGGGTACCAGGAGGGAACGACCCAGAGAAGCCAGGTGGGCGCGCAGCCAGATCTCCTCGTGCAGACTGCCCTGTAAGAACGCTGTGCTGAAGTCCAGAGAGTGAAGCTCGTAGTCACTGTGAGCAGCAACGTGCAGCAGCACCCGAAGAGTGGTCATTTTCGGGGTGGGGGAGACGGTCTGGAAGAAGTCAACTCCCTCTCGCTGACTGAAGCCTTGTGCAACGTAACGAGCCTTAAAGACAGGCGGAGAACCCGGCGGCCGCTTCACCCTAAAATCCACATGCCATCGACGATGTTCGCCCAGGAGGGGGAACCTCGTCGACGTAAGTGCCTATGGACTTCCAGGATGCCATCTCTGCGTCCATGGCTGTGTGCCATTGAGAGGAGTACTCACCCGCGATCGCCTCAGCGTAAGAGCGCGGGGTCGGGATGTCAGGTGCATCCGGGTCTCCCTCAGGGGCAAGCAGCATGGCCACGAGATGAGGTGCAGAGGCTGCAAGACACTCAAAGTCCTCCTGCCTGTCCTCAAGGACGTCCGTGCCAAAAGCAAAATCACCCCCGACGGACGGAGATAGGTAATGTCTATATCTGTCAAATTACATAGATTCGATAGGTTAAAACATGGTAGGGGGGTGGGGAATGGGAAAGAATAATGCGTCGGCCGGTAAGGCCAGTATGCACGCTTGTGTGTAGGTACAAGGCGGAGCTGGAACTCTGAAATCTCCCAAACTATGTGAATCGGAAAGGTTATAACCTAGTGTTGTTGAAGTAGAAGGCCTAATCTAGTGGACTGGCAAGAATATGGCACTAACGGCATCTCTACAAACATACGTAATGCGCTGGTCAGTTTGGTCAGTATGCGCGCCTGTAGTGCAGGTACCATGTACGACCGAAATGTCTTTTTTTGCCAAATTACATAGGCCCGATAGGTTAAAACATGATAGAAGGGTGGGGAATGGTATCATTTAAAGGAAATGGGAATACATATGGTATTCACTGTATTTGTACGGAGAGAATAATGCGTCGGCTGGTAAGGACAGTATGCACGCTTGTGTGTAGGTACAAGGCGGAACTGGAACTCTGAAATCTCCCAAACTATGTGGATCGGAAATGTTATAACCTAGTGTTGTTGAAAAAGAAGGCCTAATCTAGTGGACTTGCAAGAATATGGTAGTAACTGCATCTCTACAAACATGAGTAATGCGCTGGTCCGTTTGGTCGCTAAGCGCGCCTGTAGTGCAGGTACCATGTACGACTGAAATGTCTATATCTGCCAAATTACATACATCCGATAGGTTAAAACATGGTAGGGGGGTGGGGAATGGCATACTTTAAAGGAAATGGGAATACATATGGTATTCACTGTATTTGTACGGAGAGAATAATGCGTCGGCTGGTAAGGTCAGTATGCACGCTTGTGTGTAGGTACAAGGCGGAACTCGAACTCTGAAATCTCCCAAATTATGTGGATCGGAAAGGTTATAACCTAGTGTTGTTGAAGTAGAAGGCCTAATCTAGTGGACTGGCAAGAATATGGTAGTAACTGCATCTCTACAAACATGAGTAATGCGCTGGTCAGTTTGGTCGCTATGCGCGCCTGTAGTGCAGGTGCCATGTACGACTTGAATGTCTATATCTGCCAAATTACATAGATCCGATAGGTTAAAACATGGTAGGGGCGTGGGGAATGGTATCATTTAAAGGAAATGGGAATACATATGGTATTCACTGTATTTATACGGAGAGAAAATGCGTCGGCCAGTAAGGCCAGTATGCACGCTTGTGTGTAGGTAAAAGGCGGAACTGAAACTCTGAAATCTCCCAAATTATGTGGATCGAAAAGGTTATAACCTAGTGTTGGTGGAGGAGAAGGCCTAATCTAGTGGACCGGCAAGAATATCGCACTAACTGCATCTCTACAAACAAACGTAATGCGCTGGTGAGTTTGGTCGGTATGCGCCTGTAGTGCAGGTACCATGTACGACTGAAATGTCTAGATCTGCCAAATTACATAGATCCGATAGGTCAAAACATGGTAGGGGGGTGGGGAATGGTACCATTTAAAGGAAATGGGAATACATATGGTATTCACTGTATTTTTACGGAGAGAAAATGCGTCGACCGGTAAGGCCAGTCTGCACGCTTGTGTGTAGGTACAAGGCGGAGCTGGAACTCTAAAATCTCCCAAACTATGTGGATCGGAAAGGTTATAACCTTGTGTTGTTGAAGTAGAAGGCCTAATGTAGTGGACTGGCAAGAATATGGCACTAACTGCATCTCTACAAACATACGTAATGCGCTGGTCAGTTTGGTCGGTATGCGCGCCTGTGGTGCAGGTACCATGTACGACTGAAATGTCTTTATCTGCCAAATTACAAAGGTCCGATAGGTTAAAACATGGTAGAGGGGTGGGGAATGGTATCATTTAAAGGAAATGGGAATACATATGGTATTCACTGTATTTGTACGGAGAGAAAATGCGTCGGCTGGTAATGTCAGTATACACGCTTGTGTGTAGGTACAAGGCGGAACTGAAACTCTGAAATCTCCGAAATTATGTGGATCGGAAATGTTATAACCTAGTGTTGTTGAAGTAAAAGGCCTAATCTAGTGGACTGGCAAGAATATGGTAGTAACTGCATCTCTACAAACATGAGTAATGCGCTGGTCAGTTTGGTCGCTATGCGCGCCTGTAGTGCAGGTACCATGTACGACTGAAATGTCTTTATCAGCCAAATTACATAGATCCGATAGGTTAAAACATGGTAGAGGGGTGGGGAATGGTATAATTTAAAGGAAATGGGAATACATACGGTATTCACTGTATTTGTACAGAGAGAATAATACGTCGGCTGGTAAGGCCAGTATGTACGCTTGTGTGTAGGTACAAGGCGGAGCTGGAACTCTGAAATCTCCCAAATGATGTGGATCGGAAAGGTTATAACCAAGTGTTCTTGAATTAAAAGGCTTAATCTAGTGAACTGACAAGAATATGGGACTAACTGCATTTCTAGAAACATAAGTAATGCGCTGGTCAGTTTGGTCGGTATGCGCGCCTGTAGTGCAGGTACCATGTACGACTGGAATGTCTATATCTGCCAAAATACATACATCCGATAGGT